CCCCCCACCCCCTACCCTACCCCCCTTCTCTTCCCTCTTTCTTCTTCCTCCTCTCCCCCTTTAATTTCCCTTCCTCTCCCTTCCTCTTTTCATATTCTTTTTTTCACTCTTTCTTACCTCTGTTTCACTCTTACCTCTTCCTCTTATCCTCCTCTCCCTCTCCTCCTTCCCTATTTCTCTCACTTCCCTTTCATTTCCCTTCCATTTCCCTCTTCCCCCTCTCCCCTCTATTTTCATCCTCCTCTCCCTCTCCTCCTCTTCCCCCTTTCCCCACTCTCCTTCCCTTCCCTCCCCATCCTCCTCTTCATCCTCCTTTTCCCTCCCCTCCCCTTCTTTCTTCCCCTCCTCTTATTTCATCCCCTTCTTCTCCATCCCCTCCCAAACAAAAAACCCCTACTCCAAAGTCCCAAACCTAATTTCAGTCAGCTTTACAATACTCACAATCAATCTTTTCAATCTCTCAATCTCTTTTCCCCCCTCTTCATTTCTATCAATCTCTCAACCTTCCAATCTCCCACAAAAGAAAGATCCCCCTCCCCCCCCTCAGAAAAAAATCAAGAACAATACAAAACCCCCAACAAAGAAATCCCAGGAACAATAGGAAATCAGGGGTTCCATTTTTTTTCTTCTCTATCAAAAAGGAATTTTCTAGAAACAAATTATCAGCGTGTATTATTTGAAAATTCTGGATATAAGCGTGGTGTTGGAGCTGGGGGCTTCGGTCTCGAATATCCGAATTTTTTTACCATCAAGTTCATAGTATGTAGTTGTCAAATTCACATATATATCACTAAAATCATAATCATTGAAACCCTCAAAAAGTAGAAGAAAACAGTCATTTTAATTCCTATTTCCCTCCAAAGCCAAAAAAAAACTATTCTTTCAACCATCATATCATATGATGATTATCTATCCTCAATTCAAATAGAATCAAGCTGCGCTCCATGCACAATAGCAACTGAGAAACCTATCAATGGCATCCCGCCAAGGTCTTCTCCGACTATATTGAAGATGTTGAAGTTCTCCGTAACGCCGAAATGCTATATATGCCACACCTTCCAGCTCCCATCCCCCGAAAAAAAAACAGTAATAATCCATTGCCCGCCATATCTACGGTCTATGTTGAAAGACTTTTATCTTCGTTTGTATCTTTGCTCTCATGAAGAAAAAAAATGAGAAGAAACTCGAGAAAATTGCATTCATTATGCAATAAAGCAGTTCTGAAGGCAGATGTAAAAAAAAAATGTGAATGATATCATAAAAGAACTCCCGCCATATTTTGGCCCCAAAGGTCGTTGAGACCATGCCATTCATCAATCATTGCGCCGTTAGATATCCGTAGGAAATACAGGGAATCCTGGTTGTACAAGGACGTTGAGTCCTGCACTGATGTTGTGTGTGAGTTTATTATAATTTAATTTAGAACTTGAGGGTCTTTGGCTTCTCCCAGGTGAAGTCTTGACTGGTGAAGTGACCGTTCTTGGCAGTCTTGAAGTAGATTGGCTTGGCCAAATCGAGCTCCTTGACAATGACACCAGGTCTTAAGTCAAAGTTGGCTCTGATAATCTCAACAAGTTCATCTGATGTCTTGCTGGATGTACCATATGTGTCGACAAAGATGGAAAGTGGCTCGGCAACACCGATGGCGTATGAGAGTTGAACGAGAGCACGTCTGGCGAGTTTGGCATTGACCAATGACTTGGCAATCCATCTGGCGACGTAGGCAGCAGATCTGTCAACCTTGGAGAAATCCTTTCCGGAGAAAGCTCCACCACCGTGAGCACCCCATCCACCGTATGTGTCGACAATAATTTTTCGGCCAGTAAGACCAGCATCTCCTTGAGGTCCACCGATGATGAAAAGTCCGGATGGTTGAATCTGAAAAGAATTTGTTAGTATTTCTCAAGGAAAGACGAGTAAAGTGTGGCTTACGTGGTAGATAGTCTCCTCAGTCAAGTATTTGGCAGGGATCGCGGTCTTGATAATCTTTTCTAAAATCTCCTTTCTCAAAGACTCGGTGGTGATGTTCTCATCGTGTTGAGCGCTGACAACAACGGTGTGGACTCTTTGTGGGACAACAGCTCCGTTGTCATGCTTGTACTCAATAGTGACTTGAGTCTTGGTATCAGGTCTGAGCCATGGCAAGCTACCGTCTCTGCGAGCAGCGGACATAGCAGCGTTAAGCTTGTGTGCCAATTGAAGGGTCAAAGGGAATAATTCGGGAGTCTCATCAGTGGCATATCCGAACATGATACCTTGATCACCAGCACCTAATTGCTCGAGAGCCTGTTCGTAGTGAAGACCTTGAGCGATATCTGGAGATTGTTCTTCAATGGCAACCAACACGTTGCAAGTCTTGTAGTCGAAACCCTTGGAAGAGTCATCGTATCCAATATCCTTAATGGCTCCACGAATGACTTTTTGGTAATCGAGACGTGCCTTGGTGGTAATCTCACCAAAAACCATAACCATACCAGTCTTGGTAGCAGTCTCACAAGCAACTTTAGAGAGAGGGTCCTCAGCTAAGCATGCATCAAGAATGGCATCGGAGACTTGATCAGCGATCTTGTCTGGATGTCCCTCACCAACAGACTCAGACTAAATAATATGATCAGTAAATGAATTTTGTATATCGAGCTGAAAGGCCAGCTTACAGTGAAAAGGAAAGTTCCTTGGTTGTGGTGAGAAACTCCGTTTGTTTGAACCATGATTGCGGTAGGTTTATGTGATGGGAAGGATGGGAAAGAGAGTATTATTTTGGATAGCAAGAGTGATAAGACGACGGTCTATTAAAAACGATGATTTGAGGGAAAGATGAGAAAGGATGGAAGAAACTAAGGGTCGAAGAAAAGGGTCAATAATGTAAGGAAAAGTTTGTGGTTGGGAATTTTTTGGGGGGGAAGGTGGGGTTTAACAAAGAGAATGTCCGTGCAACGAATCCCGATTGGGTTATAATTGAATTGCACCATATCTGGTATGTACCGAGAAGAGGAGGCTGACCGACAGCCCAATTGAAGTTGGACTAGTACTCACCGCCGGTGAGCCTGATAGTAAGATATAAAATTCATTTCATATATACATAAATCCATTCTATATAGGGGCACTTAAGGTGAGGACTACCTAGTAGTTACCTTTATCATATTATCATACAGAATTTAGAGGTAGATAAGTAGATCTGGGGGAACATTTGTTGAGTTCATTGGCTTATTATTATTAGTTTATTGGTTTCAATTACTGTACTCATTCATACTCGTATCCTCGCTCCGAAGTCGAGGTACCTGTACACATTGTGTTTAAGAATCTGAATCAATGTATAGTAATAAGAGAGAATAGATGCTGAGTTCTGTAGTGCAGATCTGTGTAGAAAGGCTTGATAGGTTTGTTGAGGCTCGTACCGAAAGGGGGGCTAGCTTGAGGTATTTACTATTATTAAGCTCAGGTAATATAATATTCTCAGCCTTGCCCTATAAAAGCACGGAATTACTTCGGTCGAGAAGGCTGAACTATTTTTTTCTTCGAGTTGATAGCTACCCCACTTTCACCATTTACCAATTACTATCTACTACCGGTACTATCATATTATTGCTCTCATCACATAAAAATCCTATTCACATTACATAGTGAGCCACCACTACCATCTCCCTTCAAAATGAGTAAATTTGGTGTCCTAGTAATGGGACCTGCAGGTGCAGGAAAAGTGAGTCTCAATCTTAATCTTCAATGCGCCTTTCTTCTATCTTCTTGTTCTGCACCTCCAGAGATTCATCATCAAAGTCTCAACTCTTGCGAATATCATCATTAGACAAAATGCCAAAAACACACACTAACCATCTCCCTCCGTCCCCCCCTTAGACAACCTTCTGCACCGGCCTAATAAACCACCTCCAAAACAACCGTCGCTCCTGCTTCTACATCAACCTCGACCCCGCCGCAGAAACATTCTCCCACGAACCCGACCTCGACATCAAAGACCTCATCTCCCTCGAAGACGTCATGGAAGAAATGGGGCTCGGCCCCAACGGCGGCCTCATCTACTGTTTTGAATTTCTGCTAGAGAATCTCGAGTTCCTCTCTGAAGCCATCGAGCCACTGACGGAAGAATATCTCATCATCATCGATATGCCCGGCCAGATCGAATTATATACACATATCCCCATCTTACCTGCGTTGGTGAAATTCTTGACCAGGACCGGCGCGCTGGATATTAATCTATGCGCGGCGTATTTGTTAGAGGCGACGTTTGTGGTTGATCGGGCGAAGTTTTTTGCAGGGACTTTAAGCGCTATGAGTGCTATGATTATGTTGGAAGTTCCACACGTTAATATTCTTTCCAAGATGGATTTGGTGAAGGGACAAGTTGCAAAGAGAGAACTGAAGAGATTCCTAGATCCAGATACGTCGTTGTTGGATGATGATCTGGAAGAAGATGATGGGGAAGGAGAAGCGAAGGATGCGCGGACGTTGATGAAGGGGAATAGTTTCCGCAGATTGAATAAGGCTGTGGCGGGGTTGATTGATAGTTTCAGTATGGTATCGTACTTGAGGTTGGATGTGCAGAATGAGGATAGCGTGGGTGGGATCTTGAGTTATATTGATGATGCCATACAATTTCACGAGGCGCAGGAACCAAAGGAGCCAAATGATGAGGTGCAACAAGATGAGGGGGATATGGAGTAGGATGGTTCGGTATGTATGTCTTGAGGATTGGAGAATAGAGCCTTGTCATAAGGATCATCAGAAATGACTACACAGATGGTCAATCAAGTATACCTAGGTTTTCCATACGGGCACAGGCGCATTGCTGGTCAGGATACACGGAGTTGGAGGATATTGGCGTTTTAAGGGAATATTCCTGTGATGCATAGCGTGGGCGTTTATTGTGTAGATTGTATCATCCACAGATATTTTAGAAAATTGAAGAGTATTCATAAACATACAGAATCTTCAGAAATATCCCATAGATATCAAAAGATTTGCACAACGCTTTGATCCAACAGTCCCTCGCAGACAAAATTGCTCTGCTTCTACCCATGCTTGCTTGTATAGTATGTTATAGTGTGGTATTATATTCATCATATTGAATATGAATATCGCTAGCAGATGAAACTTCTATACACACGCTCTGCAATTGCTGATGTCGTAAAACATATGTATCGTATCGTATCGCATGTACCTCATATCCAATGCTTTCCGCTACTCGCCCATCTTAGCTCTTCCTCTTCCTCTTCCTCTTCATTCATCAATCTTATCATATCATACAACCATCCTCTTAAACGCCAAAGCAATGCTAAATCACCCAGCATGAGAGCCTCTTCCATATCACATCATAACATAACATATCATTCCACACCCCCCTCCCTCCCTCCCTCTCCAACCCGCACATCCCCGCACCTACCAACCCCTCCCCGTCTCCCCCCTCCCCTCCTCCCTCCCCTCCCCCCCAACCCACCCCAAAACCTCCACGCCCGTCCTCCCCACCCCCCTCTCCCAAACCCACAAACCCAGCAAACCCATCCCCCCCCAAAAAACCAGCCCAAAAATCATCTTTACCCCAAACGCCACCAATCTCCTCATCCAACTCATTACCGTCAACACCGTCCACAGCAGCACTATCATCACCACCACCCCCGATATCGCCGGTGCTGTCTGCGCTGCGCTTATCAGCGCGTTGAGGAGCGGGACGAGAATCGGTGTTAGCATTGTGGTGCTGGTGTTGTAGAGGGGGGTTAGGATCGATGTCGTGGTTGTGTAGGTTGAGAGGAGGTGTGGGTAGATGTGGAGGAAGTGTGGGTAGGCGCGTAGGAGGTAGGGGGTCGCGGTTTGGTAGAGGGGGAGGGTTATGTCTGTGGTTGGGTTGGTTAGGTTAGGTTGGGTTGTTTGGTTGGATTGGATTGTTTGGTTGGATTGGATTGGGTTGGGTTGGACTGTTTGATATGATGTAGATGATGTGATTTGTGGGATTGGAAATGGAATGGGAAATGGAAATAATGAAGAGTTGAGTATATCATATTATATTGGGTAAATAAATTAAGAGCACATAAGACTTACTATTAAGGAGCAGATCCATATTTAGAATATAGCTTCTGCGACGAGCTGGAGATGCACTTGAGGATCCTTTGTTTTATTTTTGACTGCCCTATTGCGAGTTGTTGCGAATGTTGCGATTGGTGCGAGTGTTGCCAGGAGAAGAGTGCTTGCACAAAGAAATCGATGTTTGTTTTGAATCTTGCTTGTTTACTTGCTTTTACTCCAGTATCTCGATCTCAATCTCAATATTGATATCGATATTCCAGAAACCCGAAAAGACAATAGTATTTTCCTCGCGAAGAGAATAGTATAATACTAAGATTGCAATTCAGTTACCTAGGTTACCGTACCAATCAAATTAGTATTCAATCCAATTCGTTTTCAATCCCGTTTGCGTTTCGATTCAACTCAAACACTCAATCCCAAGAACTCCCGGTTAAATTGATTAAATCTTAATAGGAAGAGAGAGAATAGTGAAGTGATATGATATTGACTCCTTCCCTTTCCTTTCCTTTCCTTTTCTATTCTTTTAGCTTATTAGAGATGCTTGATATGTAATATGTACGGAGTTATGCATAATCTATCTAATCTAAAAGTGAAAAATGCAGGCGAGCGGGGAAGGTATATCCCGGGACTTCTACCTCTATTTAAGTAGGTAACCCGTGGTATTCCGGTTAGCGGGAATGGCAGGATATCATACTGTACATACATATCCCGTTGCCGGCGCGGAATATAATAAGTTATTAGATACGTACATAGGTAGGTAGGCAAAATGAAGTTACTGTAACATCTACTTATATACATACCTAACTCAAGATTTTTTCCAATTACCTATAGTAAGTACTCAGGCATGCATTGAAAAACACATCTACCTATATACTCGAGTTGTGGAGAGATATTATAATTTATATATATTTCGTATATTCATATTTTGCACCTATCTACCGGCAGGTATCTACAAGTATATGTATATACCTACTCAGTTTACCTATGTACATTGCCACGCCAATGATATCAAATAGCTCATACAATACCTACGCCAATGCTATGCTATGCTAAAAACCTATGCAATGCAAGCAACCATCCCTTATGCTAGTGCCGGTACTCCTATCAAAAGCAATCAAGCCAAATCATCAATATCATCATCATTCCACCCCAACGCCTCATAAAACGAGACTTCTTTCTTGTAGACTTGTGTTGGTTTCATTTTGTCGAGTGCTACTGGCACATCTCTGATATTCTCTTGATCTTGATTTGGAGGGCCAGAAGGGACAGAAGGATGGCTGTGGCATGATTTCCAATCTGATAGGTTCCTTAAAGGTGCCAAAGGTGCCAGAGGGGTTTCTTTTAATGATGTTTCCTTTAGTGGCGTTTCTTCTATGTGGGTATACGATGTAGAGGTTGAAGGTCTTTTGATTGGCGTTTCCAAAATTCGTGGGACAGCTGGGATAGAAGGTCTTTTTGCCATGGAGTTAGGATTTCTGTTGAACAATTGTGCACTGGAACGACGCATTTGTAATGGCGAGGAAGGCGGTATTGCACCGTAATCGGCATCACGGTTGGCAAAGTTACTCATAGGTCTAGTTGAAGTAGAAAAGGATTTGCGACTGGGAGTCGCTTGTACGGAACTTCGAAAAGGGTCCTGGTCGCATGAGGGACGGACTGTCGATTGTGGGATGGCGGATACACTCGATGGGGGAATGAAACCCAAGTCCATCTCTTCAACATTTCTCCATCCACTAAAAGTTGATTGAGATTCACCGAACATATCTTTTTGACGGTTGCTCTTGGGTGTGGCTTTGATCTGTACCGATGGGAATCCTTGGAATAGAGGATTTCTGATAGGCTTTTTAGACTTTCGAGGGTGTCCAGCCGAAGCGGACCTTCGTTCAGCAGTCTCGGCCAATGCTTTACCAGCTAACTCACGATTTGGTTTCTTGAGTGCCAAAATTGCGTCCTTTAACTCTGCGTCGATGGCAGCTTGTTTCTTTGCTTTGGATTTGGGGTCTGGCGCAAGTGTACTCATATCAACCTCTCTTTGTGAGAATCTTTTCGAGTTCAAAACACCACCCCTATTAGCATGAAGAAGCTTGAACTCGGCGGGAGGTATATTAGACAAGGATGGTGCCTCACTGGCCTCTCTTTTAAAACCGGGGATGGTAGGATCGGTAGCAGACCTCATCAAGGAGATGGCTCTATTCGATCCTATTGACATGCTACGTCTCTCTCTATCGTCTGTCAACACACGTTGCAGGCTTTTTCTTTGCTTTGCAAGAACAGGCCGCTTGGTGACAGCACCTGGTCGAGTAGGCGTATTTGAAAAGCTTGCAGGTCTAGGTTTTGAAGCAGATTTGGTAATCGGCCCTCCAAGTTTGCGATTTATGGCATCACAACGATCAGGGAGACGTGCCGAGAAGAAAGGGCCAATAACTTCTATGCAGAAATCCTTGAGGATATTATCAGTATGCTTCGCAGTATTGGCGTGTGTTGGGCCGGACCCTATACCGGGAGCCTTGGTAACATCACTTGCAATGGATTGCCAAATGCATAGTCGATCAATATGAATATCAATGAGCATCGTGAGATGGTCCTTTTTCCTAGTTTTGGGCGTCCTTTCCTTGCTTTGTATTATATCATTGCTAGGTAGACTAGGTAAACCTTCCTCCAAATTCTCATTTATCGAAACTAGAGGTTGTAGGGCAAGAATCTCAAGAATCACGATCATCTGAAGTTGCGTTTCTCGGATACGTAAATTGGCTATGCGACTCTTCGCTATCTCGTCTTTCGATGATCCTGGAGCCCCGGACTCTACCTCCTCATCATGGCCAATCCACCATTTGCCAATGAGTGATTCCTCGTTTGGATAAAGCCCATTCTTACCAGGTTTCATCTTCTTATTGCCCTTCCTTCTCTTGGGTTTGACTATCGCGTCGTCGGCACTATCATCGTGAATATCAATTGCCGAGACACAGACTGGTACACCATCGCGATACTTCTTATCAAGGAGGGTACTAGACAGTACAAGGGTTTCTAGGAATGCGATATGATCGTTCATATCGAGAGTTGCGTCGAAATCGAGGTGAAATGCCGCGCGGGCTCGTGATAATGGACCTTTCGCGAAATAGGCTAGTGAGGTTTTTGAAAGATATAGTGATTCGATGTACTGAGTTCTGATGTTATCGAATATTTCAGTAGCCGTGGCTTGTGTTGTCGTCTCTAAGGCGGGCAGAGGAACGGTTGTTTGAGTGTCATTTTGAGCTTCGGATACGACTGCTAATTCAGGCGCAACTGATTGAGGTTGAGACTCTGGTAATAGTGGAGTAGATGGTCGTTTGATCATAGACTGTATCGCTTCGATAGCGAGTCTCTTTTTCTTATTGTATTTGCTTCCTTCGGGTATGATAAATGGCGCAGTCGAAATTTCCAAAGCATTTGAACCCAAAAGTAGTCCCTTGACCGGCACATCTGCGCGCTCGGTCTGGGCTACAACAGCCGAAGCCTTCAATTGATGTATGTTGATCCAAGAACCAAGTTGTAAAACAACGTATAGTCCCCGTGATTCCCTCTCGACTGCGTATAAGGTCCGATTGTCATCCAATCTAGCTATAAGAACCATTGGTTGGTTTCCCATGCGTTCCTCCAATTCCAATATCTTAACATGAGTCTCGAAGAGTCGCGATTGGCGCAATGGGTTGGTTGCAGATCCAATATCCAGATGTGATAGCGGTAGATGTGACCGAGGTAATAATATTATAGGTTGAAGAGTTCGAGGTCTGACATTGACTTTGGACGGGTATGGCTATTTCCAAATAAGATATAGTGCTTGCGAGAATAGACAAATATACTGCCTACCTTGACAACAAAAGTATCCTTAAGCAAGTCCTCTAAAGAATTGCCATCTCTCTTCCGTTTCTTACCTCCCAAACTTCCTATATCATCTTGACAAATTGACTGTGAGCTTGGAGTCAAGACACCAGATTGTCGACGCGCCTGGCGAATCGACGCGTCGGAAAAGGGGGATGCATCTTGACTTGACATCGCACCCGAGTATTGATATTTACTATATCATGAGGAAAGTAATGTATACAGAGATCTCTAATTGATACAATGCAAAAATCTGTTTAGAAATTATGTTCTTGGTGAGCATTTATGTATGCAGGCAATAAAATATTGATTTGCAATAGCGATATCATATTTTTATGTTTGCCATATCAGAACGCGCTCCACGAGGCTGTAACAAAGTGTGTAAGTTGTACCTAGTAAGCTTACATGGATTAAACATTTTAGCATCGGAACTATTTCTCCGACATCCGATTTTTATTAAAGCGGCCTATTGTCAGCCTTTCAAGTTTCAATTATGTACCTACTCAGAGACTTGTATCATTTGGGCGAAAATCGTTTGATGATAGATGATATATTCCGTATTAGTTGTATTATGCGACTTTATTATAGAGGAAAAGTTCTCAAAATCCTATATCAAGCAGGAAACCTCAAAATCCTCGAGCCTCGAGATAACCATACCCTACCCATCATCTATTAATAATAATATACTTTTTGAAGTTGTGGCTTAACTTTCAGGGATTCACTATGAAACTCGTCAAGAATGTATATCAATGGAAGTGAAGGACATGATCGTCGTAAACATGGGTGGCAAAAGATACACGTCGCGGGGTTGTGAAATTTGTTTGGAGTAATGGAGGTTATACCAAGCCAAAGATCATCCATATCTTTTATCTTTTCTATAGCCGAGTAGAGAGAAGAGATTTGAGATTTGAGAAGAAGGAACTTGTATGGAGAAGAGTAACAAGTAATAATCTTTTCAAGCTAGCTTCTACACTTTTAAAATAAACAAAGTAAGAAGATCAGAACAGATTAATACTCTCGAGTATAATTAACTCAAATCACACACTTCGGTATTCGGTATTTACAGATGAATCAAACCCGAATCCGATTATTTACGATTAATATTGATATCTGAAAACTAGGTGAAGTCGGAACTTTTTGTCCTTAATCGGGATTTGATATTTGATACCCAACACCTACCCAGATATAACACCTTACCAACAATAGTTACACTCATACTCATCATACTCATACTCATATGAATTGATCCATCCGTCTTTCCATTTAAAGCTTTCCAAGAATCTTTTAATCGTACCTATTACCGTACCTACCTACCTACCTACTTACTAGTATTTTCCCTCAACTTTCTCTCTGTTCTCTTCTCTCTCATATCTTCATTTTGACCGAAAATTCATAGCATCTACTTCGAGCACATCTGTTTTACCTAAATTTCTATAGCTAGACCGTATTACCTCAAATAAATCATTCATTCACTCTCATAACCCCCCCCCCCCTGCATTATCGGTACCAACCTACCAGGATGACTTCCTAAACAAAGGGCAAATTACTTTTGGCAACCTCTGATTTTTTTGATAACCACCAGTTTCACTCTGGATCATGACCTCGGAGATTTCACCTCGCACTGTACGCTTCACAGACGGGGACGATGGCAAAGGACTTGATACTTCAAACCCTTCCGATATCATGGACCGCCCGCATGTTCACACCAGCGATTCGGGAGGTTCAGGCTCATCTGCAGATTCACAAGACTTTGTCGAACATATAAATACTGATGCTGTACACGATGCACACTCCGATACCTTTCTTCCTATCGATCCTCGACCCCAGATGAATAGTATGAATTCGACCATGCGCAGTCGAGGTAGCAATTCGGAAACAAATGGTGCAATATATGGTCGCGAAGTCACGTTCAATAATACACCTCAAACTCCTCTGAATGGAGCGACGAGCAGACCCCAGAGGCCTACAGCACCAGCCCGAACTCCTTCAAGTACATACGCGCCTGCGCGGAGACCTCCACAAGCTCCGTACATGTCAATTTCGGACCGCAATCGATCCGTTTCAACTTCAAGATTTAATAGACAGGATCCAAACGGCGCATATCGTGCGCAAGAAAGAGCTTACGTGCAGCGGTTACGGCAAAACGATCCACCTTTCGAATATTTTGAACCTTATACCCCAAGTCTTGGATATGGAACAGGATCAGATACCGAGGAGGAATCGCCATCAGAATTGCAATTCGATGGTGACCCCTTCGACCAGGAGACTGTCCTTTTCTACAACAACGATGACATACAACCTAGTCAAGAAGACTTAAAAGATCCCGCAAATAGAGAGCGTCTGGAATGGCATGGGATGTTGGCATCAGTGTTGACGGGAGACGTGGTCAGGCAGGAAAAGAAACGTCTTATTGGCAATTCAGAAAATAAAGCAGATAACATTGGCACCGAGATCTGGCTCGGGGTTCGATCGAAAGTATGCGGAAGAAGTTTAGGAGCCCAGCGACGAATATTAGAAGATACCCGAGCCAACCTTGACACCGTTCTTGAGGAGATCATTAAATTTCAGGTACAAGGAGAAAGTGAGGCGGGAAAATCACCTCTCGATCAAGTACGGGACATAGTCGCGAAAATCGAGAAGTGCGAAAGTCTATACCCATCTCGCACTGGCTTAGAACTGGCGAATAAATTGGCAGCGTCCTCACCATTCGCTGCCACCTGCGATGCTGTCATATCATGGCACAATACCACCGAACTCATCAATATTGAGCTTGCTGTGCTACAAAACTGGGTAGGGAATTCGGAACTCGACTTCAACAAAGTGAAAGAACGCTCGCCTTCAGGACATGGACTCTCCGACGAGACATCCTTTATTGATAGATTACTAAAGGAAGACGGGCTGAAATCTCTGCAGGGTGATAAAAGCATACTTTTAGGTGTATCTGAGGTCATCATGAAAGCAAAGAATACACTTATCGAAAATTCTGAAGGCTTCGCAAAACGGCATCTACCTCCTTATATCGAGGAATTACTCACTCTCATAAATTTTCCTTCCCGCCTCATCGAGGAGATTATTAAAGTTCGACTTCAGTATGCAAAGAAGATGCGAGATTCCACGCAGCAGAACGCAATGATGGCTGAGCAAATGATCTCACAATTTAGAATATTACTAAAACTTGCGATACTGATCAAGCAAGAGTACCTAACCATATCAAATCCTGAACCTGGATGGGATCTACCGCCTTGCATTGATGAGTCTTTTGATCAAGTGGTCCTGGATGCACTCAAGTTTTACTTCAAGATGCTCAATTGGAAATTAGGTGGAAATAAAAACACTTTCAAAGAAGCAGAAGTTCTTGAGCAGGAATGGGACTTCTCTAATGAGATTGGAAGACATCTGCAAGGGGGTGATGTTGAAGTTGCAGAGCAATTCAGCTCTCTAACCCACAAGGCCTTCTTTCGTTTGAATACCACCTTCGAAAAAGAAATGGTGAGAAAGCCGAAAGAAACAGCTGCGGAGATGACGAAGCGTTATAAGCAAAGTCTAGACTCCGTTCGTGTGCGACAGCGTATGTTGCAGCGATTTTCCCGGGTTCTGAGTGATCGCTTTGAAAATTCAACGGATTTCAGCATCGCTATGAAACACAGTGGCTTGCAAGAATTATACTCGAGGCTCATCGAAACTGGACATTTCTTGGTTTATACTGCGAGCATCGAGCACGATGGCATTTTTCTGATAGCCTCTCCATCTCTATATAACCGACCCCAAGATATCCAGTCCATCCTAGGAACATGTTATCATTCAGAAGAAGTGCAAGCAGATACTAGCAATCCTTACATATTAGTCCTTCGTCCCGAAGTCCCAATAGGATGGGATGGGCGACAAGTCGACTCGGCTTTAATCAACATCAATATCGACTTGAAAGTAGGGCATCTTCGACTCATTGCAGACGGATCACAAGCCAGATTATCAAATGCACGTTTGGCGTTCTTGAATTCCATCGGCATACATCTAGATATGGTGGTTGAACAAAGGTCTCACCTCAAGAAAGTTCACATCAAATTGACCGACATTAAGAAAGTCGTGTATAAGCTTTCGAACTTGATCATGGACAGTGTGGAAATTGTTAGAAAACAAACGGAAGGTTTGGAATGTCAGGAACTTATTCAAACCTGTTTCGTCTTCGCAACCGAGTTTGGCCAGAGGTCTCTGCCATATATGGATAGAAATCGGAAACAAATGAACAACATCAAACTCACAAAGATCGCCTTGGATTGGGTGAGCTTCGTTTGCGATGACTGCATTCCCACGGATCGTAAGACCTTCAGATGGGCAGTGCTTGCACTTGAATTTGCAATGGTCATGACTCAAGGTCAGCACATAATAGCGCTCGGAGAAGACGAGTATTCAAGGCTTCGATCTAAAGTCGCGGGATGTATGTCTCTATTAATTTCGCACTTTGACATCATGGGTGCAAAATCAAACTTAGCCGCTCAAGCAGAGAAGCAGCGGGTGGAGATACTGAATGGCCAATTTAGGAAGATGGATATTAGAGGAATGGCCGCCGATGAGGAAGCAGCTGCCTATGTTCTTAATCAACGTCTCGAACTAATAGCTGATCTTGATGAAGAACGAAAGGTTAAAGAGGCAGGAAGGCAAGCTCTTGGCAGAGTTCTCGAAGAAAATACCGAGGCAGACCGATCTCTCACACATCTTTCTGCTTCTCCATCCAACATCAATATGCGCTGGCAACAAGGAAACTTTGTTGGTGGCGGAACCTTTGGATCAGTATACGCTGCAATCAATTTAGACTCAGGTCATCTTATGGCCGTGAAAGAGATTCGTCTACAGGATCCCAATCTCATCCCCACAATTGCTGCTCAAATTTCAGATGAGATGCACGTTTTGGAGGTTCTCGATCATCCCAACGTTGTCTCGTACCATGGAATTGAAGTCCACCGCGACAAAGTCTATATTTTCATGGAATACTGTTCTGGTGGGTCACTCGCAGGTCTATTGGAGCATGGAAGAATCGAGGACGAGCAGGTTATAATGGTATACGCTTTGCAACTTCTTGAAGGTCTTGCATATCTTCACGAAAGCGGCATTGTCCATCGCGATATCAAGCCAGAAAGTAAGTTTTCATCTTGCCTTGTTCATGTCACGATCGTTCATCTAATTATAATCCCAGATATTCTCCTCGATCTCAACGGTGTGATAAAGTACGTAGACTTTGGTGCCTCAAAGGTTATTGCTCGCCAAGGTAAAACTCTCGTCACCGCGACTACCGCCACCCTCACCAACAAAAACAAATCTATGACTGGTACCCCTATGTACATGTCCCCCGAAGTAATCAAAGGGGAGAACCCAGGGAGAGCTGGTTCAGTCGATGTATGGTCACTCGGCTGTGTCATACTCGAAATGGCTACAGGTCGTCGACCATGGACGTCTCTCGATAACGAATGGGCCATCATGTACAACATTGCCCAAGGCAATCCTCCTCAAATGCCATCACCAGATCAACTTAGTCCACAGGGTATTGATTTCATCAAGAAATGCTTCATCAGAGACCCGAAAAAACGTGCTTCGGCGCCAGAGCTCTTGCAACATGAATGGATCGTAGCGATTAAGAACCAGGTTTCCATCGAGCCACAAACCCCAAGCGATAGTGGAAGTTCTCAATCTAGCGCTAGAGGAAGTTTTATCAATTGAGGTATCTATCAAATGTCCTCAATATTTTTCGACCATTTCTCTCGACAATCACAATAATTCTCTTCTGCTTTCCGAACGAGAACACCTTTCCTTTGTAATTGCGTTTGTCAACATTATTCTTCTGGTCATTTTGGGAAAAGCGCAGTACATGAAGCGTATTTTGGGGGCATTGGGTTAGGCACAATGGATTGAAATGACATTGCATGTATATGAGGGATATACATACACACAGGACTTTTTCATTGGCGACTGAGTCGGGAGTTGGTGTTTTCCGCAGCATATTTATGTTTATGAGGAAAGCTGGGTCTACATCCCACGTCTATTTGGTTGTGCGGAATGATGTATGTAGTGTCGCGCTGAATGTTGGAGGGAGATCTGAAGAAGATGTTGAAGAAGTTGAAGACTGATAGGGGGAATGGATGGTGGGTGTATAATACATGCAGCATGGAATGAAAGGGTAAATCGATATGGATGGGTCTTAAGAAAGGAAAAATGGATATGGAAGGAGATACGAGATCAGTGGAGGATGAAGTCGAATACCGTACTGAGAAGCATGGATGGGACATGCATATTTTGATGGATGGATGGATGGATGGAAAATTAGAAAGAAGTCGTAGTGGTAGCGAAGTGTTGTGTAGTTGTTGTAGTAATAGCCAGAAAGAATAATAAAGAAAGAAAGAAAGGAGATTAATGTCGCCGGTATTACTCTACTTAGATACAGTACAGTACAGTGTACCGTCGCAACACAATAAAATAACTCGATATAATTCTTGAATTTATATTTATATTTACATTTTCACACGTCTAGATGTCACTTCATTGACAAATTTGGTGCAAAGCGGAAATACATAAACCCATTCTTCGGACAATCACTCGGTGCCTCCACTCAAATACCCCCACCTCGGCAACGTGATGAACGAGTTTTGACATGCAGGGACAGCAGGGACAGCAGGGGCAGTAGGTCAATTATGAGAGATAGACTCTGGTAAGAGGCAGCGAACCAAGAATTTACTTTGTTGCAAGGCTGAGCAGTGAGTGAGGAATCATACTTGTAGTGGAAATTTCGGAGTTGTTGGTCGAGATGGAAAAGGTTTTTGATATGGGTGGATTCGATGGATCTGAATAGATTGTGGATGTGGAGACTTGTGGATAATGGATGTGTGTGGGTGGGGATTTTAATTTATACTCCAGTAGGTACTACGGAGATATGGATGAGGCTAGGGAGAGGGCTAAGGAGGGGAAATCTTTGGAGAGGAGAGGAGAGGAGAAGGAGGGGAGGGGAAGGGGTCCATGAGGATAATGTTTTTGCTGGGTGAAGAGAAGATTTTTTGTTTGTTTGTTTGTTGTTTTACTTTTTGATGGGAAGAGAAGGATAAGAAAGGGAAGAAAAGGGAAGGAAAGAACGAAGGAGGACTCCAAGTAGAGTTTCGAGTACTGTAATTGATTGATAAAGTACGAGGATTTGTCGGATTTCGAATAAGATTGCAAGAAGTTTCGATCAATCGCAGGATCATATCAGATAATGGCTGGAACACAAGATGTTATCGGGCACAATGCCCCAGTGGGTGATGAAACTGATGTGAAGGATACTTCAGCTGAAGAGGTGAGAGATATGGAATCAGATGCTGAGTCTACAAACTCTAGAGCTGGGTCCATATGGACAATTATGGGATCTGTAAGTTCTGAAGTTGGGGAGTACAGTAGTATTCGGGAATAGTATTGATGGTAAACACATAGGCAATGGCGAACTATTCAGATGGGTACCAGCAAGGTTTAGTGAGTCTTCCCTTCTTCAACATGCATGATGAAGTGAAACTACATATCTAACAAAACTAGGCATCAAGTACAAATGTAGTATTCAATCATTTGCTAGGCACCAAAATCTACACTTCTACTATCCAAACCCGAATTTCCAACGCACTTCTCGTCGGTTCCGTCATAGGTATCCTCATCCTCGGCTACACCTCCGATAAATTCTCCCGTAAAGGTGGTATGCTCTTTACATCCACACTCGTGATCATTGGATCTCTCCTCTCCACCCTCGCTTTCCAAGTCCAACCATCCTCCCACATGCTCTGGTTCCTAACCATCGCTCGCGGCATCGCCGGTGTAGGCGTCGGCGGCGAATATCCCACCTCCGCCGCCGCGGCACTCGAAGGATCAGCCGACCACTTCGATGCCCACCGAGGACCCATCCAAGTATTCATCTCGACCCTAATGGCCACCACCGGCTCCCCCACCTGCACTCTCGTTTATCTCCTCTCTCTCCTCGCCTCAAACAACAACCTCACCATCGCCTTCCACGCCATCTACAGCATAAGCACCATCCTCCCCCTCTTCATCATGCTCTTCCGCCTCCGCATGACCGACGGCTCCCTCTTCCGCAACTCCAATCTCAAAACCCGTCCCATCCCCTGGCGCTTCGTCATCCGCAAATACGGGCTCCGCTGTCTCGGCACCAGCACCGCTTTTTTCCTCTACGACTTTGTTAATTTCCCTAATAGCATCATGAGCGCCGCAATCATCAACGGATTGGTCCCCGGTAAAAATGTCCGCACAGTAGCGATGTGGCAATTTATCCTGGCCATCTTCCCCATTCCAGGCGTGCTGTTGGGTATGTGGCTTGTGAATCGCATCGGCCGCAAGTGGACGGGCATTCTGGGCTTCTCGGGTTACGTCATCTTGGGCTTTATTATAGGAGGCTGTTATGATAGTCTGACGACGCCAAAAAATCTCCCGGCGTTTGTGGTGCTGTATGGACTTTTTGCCTGTTTGGGTCATATGGGGCCGGGTGCGACGATTGGGTTGATTAGTGCGGAGAGCTTTCCGACGGCGATTAGGGGGTTGGGGTATGGAGTTAGCGCAGGGTTTGGGTATGTTGATTTGGTTTTTTGATTTGTTTTTGATTTGGGTTTTGATTATATTCTTTTCGTACTTTTGTACTTTGCTTTGCACACACCTCACTCCGATACCCAACTCGAAACAAGTATTTCGTTTTCAACAGGATTATCTGCATTACATTACATTACTTTGCATTATGTCTAATTCGAAATTCACATCACACATCATTCATTTCACCCGCAACCGTTCTCCTCTCCTCTCCCCTCTCCCATTTTTCATAACAAACTTTCCTCCCCTCCGCTCCCCTTCCCTCTCTTCCCCCCCTCTCCTCTCATCTCCGTTCCCCTCTCCATATCCCTTTTCCCCTCTCTTTATCCCTCCCCTCCCCACCTTCCCACCCCATCCCACACAAAAACCAACTAACTCCCCACCCCCAACCCCCCAGAAAAGCAGGCGCAGCAATCGGAACACAGGTCTTCACTCCAATACAATTGGTAGCAGGCAAGAGCAGTACGTTTTTTGTAGCGGGGGGTGTGGGGGTTTTGGGGGTGGCGGTTTATTGGTTTTTACCCGAGGGGAGAGATGTGGATTTGAGGGAATTGGATAAGGAGTTTGAGAGGGGGTTGGAATTTGAAGGGGTTGAAATTTGAAATTTGAAGGGGGAGGAGGAGGAGAGAGGGAGAGGGGTGAGAGGAGAGGTGCGGGGAGAGGGAGAGGGGTGAGGAGGGGGAGGAGAGGAGAGGGCTTGTGGATTGATGATGTAATACCGGTAAGATTAAATATAAACATAAACATTCAAAACCCATTATATTACTCGTACTAAAATTCCCTAGAAGTTCAAATTCTATTCCAGATCTCGATCAAATGCTTTTGTTTTGGTTTTCGTTTTGCTTATGGTTCTAGTTTTGGTTCTGGTTTTAGTTTTGAGAGGAAAGGTGAAGGGTTAAACTTATTGTTGACTACTGAGGGGTTTTGTTAATTTGCTATAGAGCAGAAGGGGGAAAGAGAAGAGAAGGGGAGGGGATGTATACGGTGGTATATATGATATATATAGTGTAAGAGATGGGTGTAGGTGTAGGAGTGAGAATGAGAATGAGAGTAAGTGATAATTAATTATATACTCGAGTAGATAGTAGATACTAATTATAATACTTGTATCCTAGTACTCACACTCACACTCACACTCACAGTCACACTCACACTCGTACTCGTACTCGTAGAGTTATAGAGAAGCGAGCGAGCGAGAGAGAGAGAGAGAGATATATATATATATATATACGAGTAGGTAGTCTGAGTAGTTACTTGACAATTTCAGTAATTAATTATATAGTACTACTACTCGAGTAGTGATTCATTCATTCGTTCATTTATCAAAAGTTTATCAAAAGTTTATTACAAAATTCATTAGTTAAGTAAGAAAGAGTAGAGTAAGAAAAGTAAATAGTTGAATAGATTTTCAACATCTACTTTTAAGTATTTATTCATTCATTCACCCATCCATTTATTTATTTATTCACTTATTTGTAATAACTCTTTCCATTCATTTCATTCCTATCCTCTCCTCTCCTTTCAGTTCCTTCCTTTCCTTTGCTTCCCGTTTAAGTCCTTTCCATTCCATACACATATACATACAAACAAAAGCAAGCAAAACGCACCATCCATCCATCTATCTATCCATCTATCCATTGCATGGATGATTGACACTGTACAGATAGAAATCATTTTCATACATGGAAAAACCTTGCAGGGAAAGAAAGAAAGAAATGTGTGTGTGTCATGGTATGGTATGTTGTGTGAATGAGTAGCTAGCTAGCTAGCTTGCTTGCTTGGATGAATGAATGAATGAAATGACATTTATTTTGAATATGGAATTTGGAATTCTGAAAATCGGATTCTTATGGTGAATATTCTGAAGAAGTAGGTAGGTTGATAAGGTAAGGAAGGTAAGGTAAACAGAAAGGAAATGAAATGAAATATGGATTGAGAATGGATTAAGATCATCTGACCAAGTCTATGCGAAGAGAAGTCAAATCGCTGTGCGTCTAAAAGACCAAAGACAAAAGGCAAGAAATACCAGAGATAAAAGTATCCAAGGGAAATCCTAAGCTTCGATATTTTGAGCAGAATGTCTGGCTTCTTTATCATGTTGTGGAGAAGGAGTTGCGGCATGATCGCGACCGGAGTATTTGCTTCCCGTCTCCGACATATCGTTTAAGACCTCACGAGTAAGCTCAACATAATCATAAGCGAACTCGCCGATCTCCGCATCGTCGATACCGAGGATTTCAGCTTCTTCCGTGGCGCGTAGAGAGAGACCTGGGATGAGATTCATGATGAAGAGGATGATGCATGTACCACAGAAAGAGTAAACACCACCCGAGATGGAATCAGCAAGTTGGTATCCGAGTTGAATCCAATTGCGGTTGAGCCATCCACCTGGAATCTCGGTGAAGCCATCGAGATGAGCTATGTAATCAGCGGCGAAGAAAGCAGTGAGAATGTTTCCGATGAATCCACCGACGGCGTGTTCGGCAAAGATATCGAGAGCATCATCGATACCGAGGACGAACTTGAGCTTGGTGGCATAATTGGCACCGGCGGCTCCAACAACACCATAGATGATGGCAGCCCAAGCGGGAACGAAACCAGATCCGGGAGTAATGGCAACGAGACCGGCAATGACACCAGAGCAGAAACCAACAGTGGACCATTTGCGCTCAAGACGATAATCGAGGACACACCATGTGATACCTCCAACACAGGCGGCCAAGTTGGTGACGACTGCGGCCATAATAGCACGCATATTAGCTGCAAGAGCGGAACTAAAAAATTACCACAATTAGTATTGTTTTATCATAAAGATAATTGACTTGGACTGATGTGCAATGAAACATTAAGTATCGTTACATATTTCACCACACAAAAGTTGAGTCGAGCGAAAGAGGAAAATTAGATGGAACATACCCAGCATTGAAACCAAACCATCCAACCCATAGGAAAACAGTTCCAATAACAATGTGTGTAACATTATGTGGGCGGTAATTCAATTCGTGAGTACCATGTCCACGACGTTTGCCCAACATGATACTGTATGCGAGCGCAGCACAACCCGAAGAAATATGCACGGGGGTTCCACCCGCAAAGTCGAGACCACCCATCTTGAAAACCCATCCGGAAGAATTCCAGGTCCAGCACGCAATGGGATCATAGATGATGGTGGACCAGACGAACATGAAAACAATGGTGGGAAGCATGCGACCACGTTCAGCGACGGCACCAACTGCAAGAGCTACAGTGATGGCGGCGAACATGCCCTGGTAGACGGCGAACATAAGATCGGGAATCTTGGCGGAACCAACGGATGGTGCTGCAAGGACATTTCGGAAGCCAACTATGAAAATCAAGTGGTTAGTATTTACTGTGGTGCCATGTTCCAGAAGAAGTTGTACTCACTATTTTCCAAATCCCCGATATATTTGCCCGCCGTGTGAGAGAAGGAAAGCGAGTAGCCCCAGAAAAACCATTGGAAAGAAACCACTGCAGTAGCCATGATAGAGAGCCAGATCAAAGACAAGGCCGACTTTCGACGAGCAAGACCAGAGTAGAAGAAACTGTGAAGATTGCAAGATTAGTCTCTGTAGTACAGATGTCCACGTTTTTTAATGTACATACCCGACACCAGGAATCATAAGCAAGACCAAAGCAGTCGAAGTGATCATCCAGGCAATGTCACCAGCCTGTTGCACCGAATTAGTTTTGAGGTTTACTTTGAGGGACTTTGTGTTAAACTTGTAATACTTACATCGTAAAAGATGTTGAGATCTTGAGTCAAGGAATCACCTCCAGCTGCATTGGTACTGTTATAGGGAACATGAATGGTATAATTGAGTGCATCAAGATCGACGCCATCGACAATTAAAGACATTTTGAATATCTTCTCTGACCTCAGTCACAATAGTAAACTCTATTCGAGCAAGTAAGGTATGATATCTTTGAAACCCAAACCGATAGGTCGTTAAAGAATTAAAGGAATTGTCGTCGCAGTCACCAGCAAAGAAGCTCACAGATCGAAGGTTGTCGAGGTGGAAGAAGTTGTAAAAGAAGAAAAGGAATATGAATATTGTATAGATACTAGAAAGTATATACAAAGACGGCCGAAGTCGGAAAGAGTACCGAATGGCTAAGTTGACTGGATTGAGTTAAAATTGAGGATCGGATAGAGATAACGGGCAAGGTCGGATAGAAATTAATTATGTGAAGAATTAAGGTGAATAGATAAGTTGATTGCAAAAGTGAGAAGATGAGGTTTGTAGAAACCTTGATGGCGAATATGTTATCCAGCTCTAATACAAATGTTTTGGAAAAGAGTAATAAAGTCTAAAGATATTCTGAGATCAAAAAGGAGTGAGGAGTGAAAGTGGTTTAATCATTAATAAACTCAAGTCACTTTTTGACACTTCTAGATGGTACAAGAACCAAAAAAAAAGATTGGTAGAGGAGGAGGGGGGAAGTGAATTAGTTTTATGTATCCAACTCAGATAACTTACCTACCTAGGTATGCCTTGCCATGCTTACGAAGTACTTACCTACCTGCCATCTTACCACCTTACCCAGTTCCATTAGAGATATGGATGTGAATGGTGCATCATGACAAGGAACGGTTATTCAACCAAATAAAGGATCGATATCAGCCCATTGACAAGTCCAGAGATAAGTATTAAACGAAAGTATTAGCTTTGTATTGAGATCTGATTCGTCTTTGATGCTTGATCGGTTCGTTTGAGGTATCTATCCGAAGCTTTATTCCAACTATTTTCTAAGCAAGGTCAAACATTATAAAAAGATATCGGTACATCTCTCTATCTGGATTGTAAATTCCTATATATGGATGAATTCCCGATGAGAAATTCCCGGTATGAAGTGATTTGTATTTTGTTAATGTTCCTTCCTATCTTCTCTTCTCTTCTTCTCACATCTCTCTCTCTCTATCTCTTCTTTTACTTTGTTTCCCTTTCCCTTTCCCTTTCCCTTTCCTAAGCCAAGTCAGTTAGTTATCTCTTCCCAACTTTCTCATTCTCAAATTCACTTCTAAGGCCAAGAAAAGAGAAGAAAGAAATGAGATATCTTGGCCCAATCCCTCCTTGTGTAGCCATCCGCTCCATTTTCAGCTTGTCTATCATGAGGAGTACAAGAGAATTTTAAAAAACCAATCCAAAATCCAAAATCCAAAATCCAAAAAGATAGAGATAGGCAAGGGGTCCAATGACCCCTGTCATAACCAATTAGATCCCTATCAGGGATTAAGGTAGTTTCCTTATCGAGTTAGCTTTAGATAAGAAGATCCGACGGTTGGTATCTACTCTCATTGGTTCAATCTTTAGTATTCCCCCACGTGAAAATGGGGTTTAGAAATGTCTTTTAGTCTTTGTGCCATTTGTGGTGGCTTTTTTGCCCGCTGCCAAGATAATCGGGAGCAAATCATACTAATGGGAACTATCAGCCTTGAAGAAGATGTTGCCAAGATCTTTAATCTAAGTATTAATGATTTTCAGATGTTCTCATATGCTTTTTTTGTGGATGAATGGGGAAGGGGTTTTGGGCGATTTCATGAGAGCATCGAGAGGATATGAAAGAAAGTACTATAGATGATATGATAGGTAATGTAGATCAAAGTCAGATCAGCAAATCAGATACTATCCATTCATTACTGAGTATATTCAACTTTACCTACCTACTCTGTATGAATATTTGAATATCTGAATCTTTTGTATACCTAGTAGGTATTTCGTATAACTACAACTACAACTACAACTAATATCCATATAATCTTAAAATACGACAAACCCCCGAGTACCTATCTACCTATAGCTCTACACTCTCTGTAATACTCGAGTAGTCTGTAGGGAGTACAACGTCTTACTGTTTCTGTTCCTCACAGCCCTGTTGCACGGCAGATACAGTAGAAGCGAGGCTCACTCTCACTCACTGCTTCTTCCGAGGGACCGAGTCGAGTTCTTTAGGAAAATATACAAGTAACCTTAATATGTTATACAGTGAGTGTATAAGTCAACATCTCAATTTCACAGCCTCTACTCTACTCTGTTATAAAACAATTAACTAAGCAATTCATGGAGAGCAATATATAGTAGATACCGCACTGTACTACGAGATGAAAATGCATAATTCTCATATTGCGTAGATTCAATCAGTTTGGTCCAGCCAATATCTATCTATATCTATACAGCACCAAGCAGATAGATACTGTACCGTAAATCCAATATAATTTACTGAGGACTGAATGAATAATTGACATCAAAAAATACGGAGCCTCTATCAAAAAATCAATGGCTTCAATACTCACTTCAACTAAGTAGTCAGTAGCTTTATCAGTGGATCTATCCCTATCCCATTCTATAATCCATTATCCATTCGATGATCCAACCGTCCAAGAGACTAATCAATAATTACAGCACAGACAATATCATATACTCGGGTAGTACGAGTTGCATACGGGGATGATGAACTTCTTCTCCGCACAAGCTTGTCTACTTCTACCTTTCTTTGCCTTACCTTTCTTTACCTTACCTTGCCTTGCCTTGCCTTCCAGAACTTCTCTGCAATACATATGTGGAAATTCGTGATTTGAGTTTTGGATTGGGATTGGATATACAGTAAACACTGCATTGCATTGCATTGCATTGCGTTGCGCTTGTACTCGAGTACATGTTAATAACGAACGGTGCGATGGCATGAACGGTTGATTATCTATGTGAGGCGCTGGAGAGTTGCTACATATACTAAGGTTAATACAATATACCAACCAGTATGTGAATGAGATAGGTATAGTCTAGCTTGATGGTATGATATACAGTAATAGTACTCTATGAATGATGCTTTTGAAGGATATTAAATACTTGAAAATAATCTTTCAAATGAATAGCTAGATAGTTAAACTACTCAGTAGCTGGAAAGTATACTTATACTATAAGAATACCTCTGCTACCTTGGCGTGTCATATTATATCATCTATGAGTATTCCATTCGGTGTACTTGAGTATTGGCCCGAATCATATAGTATCATTAAATATATACTCCATCTATACTTCATCTATACGAAATACACATCTACTGTAAAATGACTCCAAAATCTCAAAATCCCCACAACAGATGAATCATCGATCACGAAGCTGAATAGGAGGGAGAGAACTTATTATTATATATACTCAAAAAGTATATATTCTAATACTTTCAAAACAAATCATTTCCATTCCACTCCACTCACAGTATATCTCTCTCTTCCAGACTTCTACTTAAATATACTTATAAGCGATTCCGCCTACTTGAACTACTTGAACTACATACAGTAGAACTAAAGCCAGAACTAGAATTAGACCATATAAATACAGCGGGACTGTCCGTCCTCCCACGTTTGGAATTCTATCGTTTGACCGAGCCACATTAAGCATTAAGTAACTACACAGTTAGTTTTCAGCCTGGGGAGATTACAAAATTGTTAAAATTTGGAAAGATTGGGAAATTGGGCCGAGATAAGGGAGGGGATTGAGATTTTATATACTCGTATGAGTTTTGTTATATCTGTGACAGAAAAAATCGAGTCATGATTATTGAATTTTGATATGCATATGGGTTTTGACGATTGATCCTTGAGTAATAATCGATGGAGGGTTTTCAATCCCATGTTATCTACTTCTACCTATTTACTCAAGTAGGTAGGTAGTATTTATGGATTCATGGATTTATGTATTGGTAAGGAGACTTTGAAGGACTTTGAAGAGCCAGCTGCCAAAAATTTGGGAATTTACTCGAGTATAGGTTTATTCTGTCGTACACCCATCAGCAAAATAAGCAAAGCAAGTCAAGTTATTGTTTTACTGTACTCTATCATATTACAGTATCCAAACTCGTTGCTTAATTACGAGCTTTTGTATTTACTGTAGAGTTTCATTTCGTCACACCACAATATTAGACTACATGCTATATATACTAAGTAGTATAAAATATATATGAATACAGAGTACTACTGTACTGTATATCAATCAGTATCAGCTCAGAAATCAGCTACCTATATATATACAACCTTATCCTGCAATATCTCTTTCTCTTCCTCTCTCTCTCTCTCTCTTCCTCTCTTCCTCTCTTCCTCTCTTCTTTCTTTGAATTTCCATTAATCTAAGAAAAATACATCCGAACTTGAGTGATCCAAAGATTCCAAATCACATGCTATTTGATGATTAGCAGGTACACCATCATTCTCATTCTCATTCTATAAGCTGATTTTGTTTTTACAGATTTACAGATCAACCTGAATGCGGCATACAGTACCAAATGCGATATGGAGTCTCTCGAAAATCATCAAGGTTCTGTTTTTCGATTCTTGTTGTTGTTTTCTGGGGAGGGGGAAGGGTGGAAGTTTAGCTTGTATTTTTGCTGATTGATGTCTGTACGCCTCTTTATATATCTATAAATCTAGAGTACAAGTCTCTGTATCTGTATCTCCTTACTTCTTCTCCTTTTAACTAAAGGAACTATGAGCCGAGCACTTCGAACTCATATTTTATCAATTCATATCCATTTTTATATCCATCTCCATCTCCATATACATCTATCTCATCTCATCAATCCAATCCAATTCCACTCTACTCTAACCGCCTAAAATACCCCCTCTTTCCCCCAAAAACCAAAAGAATGTTGGCTCAGGCTTGCCTTTACAACTTCATAAACGCCAGTATGTACCCCCAACGGCATTCCATGACTCTCCTCTCAGGTTACCACCTCTACACAAAAATGCAAAGATTTAAACACACGAGAGGAGAAATCACATATGAATGAGCTCCCGTTGGCACACCAAACGATTCAGCAGTATCTGGTTTTTCATCATTGCGCAACGGATGTGGGAATGTATTTTATGTTATGTGGAAGGAAGGAAGTTTAATGATGAGATGTGTATGAGTGGGAAGGAATGGTGTGCGAATATGAGATGTGAGAATTTTATGAAATTAATGTCGTTCCTTTCGTTCGTCCAATTTCCATTTTGGCGGTTCGAGCCCCAAATTGTATCTGGTAAGTGATGTAAGTCATAATTTAGACGAGAGAAATCAGATTGGAGGGGACACTCACAGCACGTTTCTTCTCAGTAGCAACTGACTTCATACCCAAATCATAAGCTAGAAGTCGTAACACTTTCTTACCCGGTTCTATATCCGGCGACTCGGGATCTCGTGATTCAGATGTAAAGCCGCATTTATCCCATATAGGAGACTCCACAGCCCATTTAACCAAATCTTCATCCAAGTAAGGGAAACGAGCTTCTCGACCCCAATGCGAAATTACACGATCATCTCGACCGAGATTTCGTTGGCCGAGTCTGCTAACATCTAACTCTAGCTCGTCTAGAAGGGCTGAAAAGCCATTTCGATTGAATGCTGTTGCGTGACGTGTATAGCCACCAAACAACTCATCTGCGCCCAGTCCGGATAGAAGAACACGTGCGGGTGTTGTGTATAGAATTTCTTCTGTATAAATGTTTGGTGATGCTAGACCGACACCGCGAGACGCAAAGTATAAGGCGAATGCTATTGATAGATCCATTTCGGTATTATGTGGATGGATCAAGTCTACTATTTTAGCTCTGTGCTCCATTGTCTCCGTGTATGGGATGTTTATCTGCTTCAATTCAGCTCTCGGATGTTGACGTAAATTGGATTTTCGACTCACTGCAACAAATCGCCATTTTCGGCCAGGACAAACAGTTTGAAGCTCTAGATGAGCTTTCCTCCCCGTTTCTCTATCAGGACAGAGCTCATACGGGGAAACTTTGTTGCCCAACGTTTGGGTTGAATCCGGAGGCGGAGGTTGTGCACCTTTCTTCAGTCGCGGTCCGGTCTGTGCAGCTTTAATAACACGAGGGTTCTCAAAGGCAACATTGAGAAGATCAATCTCTTGGTCTGGTGGGAGCAAATCATGTGCCAGTCTTGCCAAGACCGTGCAATCAAGTCCACCAGAGAATAGAATCGCCAGCCTGACATTGTGAGAGTGACCTATACTTGGAGGAGTAGGAATTGTCAAAACCCTGGGTTTCAGAGACTCACATAGATGATGCCGTAATGTCATCACTGATGGGGAATCAAGGCTGAGGATATGACTTTCGTCTTCGACAGTTCTGTTAAACTTGCCAAGTGAAGGAGCCTGCGATTCTTGAGTTAGTATCAACTTTATTCAAACAGAATTACAGCCAATGTGACAACATATAGGAAGTTCAGGAGGAATACCCACCGATGATTCGGCCTCGGAATCCTCCCATTCATATCTTTGATATGACAATGGTGATGCTGAGAGAGGGAGATTCTGTGAACCCGGGATTGAAAAAGAAAAGATACTCTTATCACTACAGGAAAATTTGTAGATGCCATCTGCTTCTATTTCTTTCCAATTGCCTTTGGCGGGATCTGAGGTACTAGCAAACTCTATATATTCAGATTCTCCCAAATCTTCGGACTTGTTATCAACATTGTAAAGAAGAGATCTGCGCCCAAGGCGATCTCGACCACAGTATATAGCACCATGAATATTATCCCAGAAGACAAATGCAAATGGCCCAGAAATGCTTCGTAAGATCTTAACCACAGCAAGTGTCGCATCTGAGGCCGAGCTAGCTAATGAAATAGCATTTACGAGCATGACATATATGACTTGGCCATCATTACCATTAACAAGCTCGCCACCAACCTTCCATGCCTCACCATTCCAGCAGAGGATTGAGCCGCAATTAGAGGCAGACGCGTCAACAACAGTTGAACCATCAAATGGCTGTGGGGTGATGTGATCTCCCCTCAAAGCCAAGACTGTTGATACAAATGACAAAAAGTATGTTGTTCCATCACTGGAAGTGAAATTTGTTTGTGTCGAACCTATGTGATCAGGACCTCTGTTGCAAAGAAAGTGTTTCAGAGCATGACTCGGACTTTGCAATCCTCGCGTGGATATTGACGCGTAAATACCACACATTACTGATTTGCGAATCGATTAGATTTCTAAGTTCTTAGGTCGTGAAATCCATTTACTTTGTGGGTAGTTGTAGATTATGTTAAGGTTGTGGTGTTGTTATACAGTTTTGTATTGTAAGTAAAGTTGCCGAGGAGCAAACAGATTTTTAAAATTTAAGTCCAACCTCATGTGCTGCATCGAGGATCGTCATTTAGCGAAACAACCAGATTACTTCACTGTCGAAGGTGAGAAAACATAGCATCAAAAACCATCGACTACTTGTCCAATAAAAAGGGAAATAACAGTTTTGATGCCTGGTTTTCAATATCCTTCTACAGATACAGTCCCCGCCCTATGATACCTCTATTCGAAGCTTAATAAATACCCGGTAGCTCGAATACCCCGCCAATCCTGCAGTTACACAAACGCCGATCAGAGGTGCTCGCGGATGTATGTCTTCTCCTAGACAGTCGGCAGAAGTTATTAAAACCCCAAATGGCCTATCACAAGGGTCTCCATCGGTGGTGAGCTCGAAAGATGAGCCCGGCACTCAAGAAGTTGAGCCAGCCTCGCCAATCAGTAAGGACATGAAGGACCAGGATGCTGGAAGAGAGAGACTGTTGGCAGACGGAAGCGAGCCAGCGGCAGACAATTCTCATACAGCAGTGGATAATACTTTGGATTCACTGAAAGATAAGGGAAAGGGTAAAAATACAGCAGAAAAAACTACGGAAGAGGTCAGAACCGCGACGAATGAGCAATCTATACCCCAAGACATGGAATCCTCTACTGCGACCTTGAAACCAATTTCAACCCGGCCCCCGAATATTTCTACGCAGAATATATCACCAGTTGATCAAATGTATTTGGATCCTACCCCGAAGACACCTGGCACCTCTCAGCCCCCTTCACGAACTGCGTCAACTGCAGGAACACATCATCTACACGTGGAGAGGCTGGATAGATCACCTACGAGATCTGATGCAGGGTTTGACGAAAAAACCTCTGCGAGTGAGGACGAACGAGAAGGAGATTCTAGATCAGAAATACAAAGCATAATGGATCAGTTCGGCGAAGATGGGCAGGGCCCAGGGCATGAGGAAGTTATGTCTCCTCGTCTTGAGTTTGCTGGCCCGCTTCTTGGCAGTCCAGTACAACACCCACCTCGCAAATCGAGTCTGGAACCTTTAAATGCAGCTGCTCTAAGCCAGAGCATTGGTGATTTACAACTATCATCTGCTCCTTCACCAGGCCACCGAACGAGGAACGATTCTGACATTGGTCCAGCTGTCCCACCTAAACCAGATTCTATACGTAGCTTTGGTAGAATGCAGGAAGATCGCTACTCCTCTGCAGATACTCCATTATCCCCCCCTCCTTTGCACCGGCCCCCACCTCCTGAACCAGAGCCTGAACCGGACCTTCCTTTTGACTTTCATCGATTCTTGGAACAGCTGAGACATAGGACAGCGGATCCCGTAGCAAAATTCTTACGATCGTTCCTGCAGGAGTTTGCTAAGAAACAGTGGATGGTACACGAACAAGTTAAAATAATAGGCGATTTCTTGGCTTTTATCACCAACAAGATGGCCCAATGCGAGGTATGGCGTGAAGTTTCGGATGCAGAGTTTGATAATGCGCGTGAAGGTATGGAGAAACTAGTTATGAATAGGCTGTATACACAAACATTTTCTCCAGCGATTCCTCCACCCCAGCCCATTCCAGGCGCTAAGCCAAGAAGGCGGGGCGCTGATCGACCTATGGGCCCCGGTCGAAGAGGGCAACATCAAGAAGACGTTGAGAGAGATGACATCCTTGCTCAAAAAGTTAGCATCTATGGTTGGGTGAAAGAGGAGCATTTAGATATACCACCAGTTGGAGACAGTGGGAAACGTTTTCTCATCTTGGCACAACAAGGTAAGATCAGGAGCCATGTCGTGTAAGTATGAATATGGGTGCTAATCATGATACAGAAATTTTGAAGATTAAAACCTACAGAGCTCCACGAGACAAAATAATATGTGTCCTCAACTGCTGCAAAGTAATTTTTGGTACCTCACTCCAACTGCCCTTTTCAATTAATGGCTCTACTAATTTTAAACAGGACTACTCAAGCACTCGAAGACCGATTCGTCAGCAGATTCATTTATGCCTCTCTTGATTTATGTTGTGCTTCAAGCGAACCCCGAGCATCTTGTATCTAATGTTCAATATATTCTTAGGTTTAGAAACCAAGAAAAGCTAGGAGGGGAGGCAGGATATTATCTTTCGTCACTGGTATGTCACTTCAGTCTAGTTCTGCGCATTAAACCGTTAATAGTTTGAAGATGGGTGCAGTTCAATTCATCGAGAACCTGGACAGAACAACTCTTACGATAAGTGATGAAGATTTTGAACGGAATGTTGAAGCGGCAGTATCTGCTATTGCCGAAAAGCATCAAGCAGAAGTTGCTTTAAGCCCTCTTCAAAACAGTCCACCAACACAGCTTTCCGAAAAATCTGCTCCTAGCCGTCCTGAAGTAAACTCACGACATTCCATGGAAGGTGAATCATCGGCACCCAGGAAGTCAACATCGTCAAACGAGTATGAAGCTGGAGATGGTGTAGACGAGAAAGCTGCTATGAGTGGTCTACTTCGGACTATCCAGAACCCACTTTCCTCCATAGGTAGAATGTTCTCAGACGACCCTTACAGTGGACCCGCGAGGACTCCTAATCCTGGGAGTACACCAAGAATATCTCCATCTCCACGAGTAAGTCTGGAAGGGTTTCAACCTCCACAGCGAATATCTAGTTCACGTGAATCGAATGCCAGGAACAGGATGACGGCAGAAGATGCCGCTGCAAGGCAAGCAAGTGCCGAGGCGGCAGAGGCACATCGCCTTCAACGTGCAGAGCACGAAAATGTCGTAGAGACTCTTGCCGGGATGTTTCCAGATTTGGACAGGGAAATCATTAGTGATGTAGTTACTCAGAAAGAGGGAAGGTAAGAATCAAATCCTCAAGGGAGGCAAACCCCAGATATTTCATACTAATTATATATTTAGGGTTGGTCTGGCAGTGGATGCATGTCTTGCTCTTAGTTCCTGAAAAACTAGCCAAGCTAGAAATACTTCATTATCATATTGTCACGTTTAATATCGACAGTTTTAATGCATTGAGCAGGTGGAAGCATAGCGTTGCGTGGTGGCATTGGCGTTTACCTCGCGTTGAATCTTCTGGTATATCCCTAGCGCTAGTCAGCTTCAGAGGATCAGTAGCGAGCATGCAGTAGAAGTTACGAGTTGATGTTTTATATAGTCGTAATTACTTGTCCGAAATAATGAAAGATGATTATAAAGCCATTGCCGTGCTCTCATAGTGAATCTTCCTTCAATGGCAAGAACTATCGTCTGAACGATGGACATATTACATTCTTCGTAGCGTGCAAAAATCTCGGTTGGAATTGCTTGTGCTATCAACCCAATTTTGTCTCGAGAGGTATTACCATGAATTATCCATTTCAAATATAATTGAAGATATATCTTAATTATGGCCAAGAAGAAGAATAAGAGCCAAAGCAATGGCGATTCTCCAGAAACCCAAATTCCTGCGGGTTCTGCGCCATCATCAGCATCAACTACTGGTACATCAACTACATCAACACCAAAATCAAAAGATACAAAGTCCGCCCAACAACCCTCAACATCTGCACTTATTATTTGTCGCAACAAGTATGTCAAACGTTTCAAATACCAAAATCATATTGCACATTATGCGCAGATGTCATAGCTGGTTTCGCAGATGCTATGCCTGAAGTTATGAGCCGGATTTGTGCATCGTTATTTTTTGGGATTTGCTTCAATGCGCGTCCCGTTTGTATCCAAAACATGCGACTAACATATTCTCCGCAGACACTGGCGTTATATCTCCTCCTTCCATGGACCATGGCTACAATTGCCCCCGGAGGTTCTAGAAGCTCTCGCAAATAATAATTATGCTCTCCCTCGACCCCGACCGATTGACCCCGCGGTCTTCTTCGATATCTTTAAAATCCGCCAGCTCGTTGACGATGCTACGAATCTCGCAGTGCGCGCCGCCAGTGGTGTAACATCATCTTCCCTCACAAATTCTCTTAATGCTGGAAATGGCTTATTAGGTAATGGGGGAACGGCGCTGGGTCTGGGGATTGGAGGAGGGGGCGGGAATGCGAAATTGAGTAAAGAACGAAAACATCGGATGCGGGAACAGGCGACACAAAAGTTATCCAAGGCGTATCATCTGGATGAGATTGCATGTAGTGTTGCGACCATGCAATCTGCTTCTACACTGGAGGACGTAGCCCAGCTTGTCCTGCAGAGAAATCCCAATGATTCGGATGCCAAATACGTGCACTTTTTCCATGAGAAAATTCCCTCGCGACAACTGGCAGAATGTACAAGTCTACAACCATTGGATGAAGCCATAGCAGATAGGCCGAGTGAGGGCGAAATATTGAGGACTCGAGCTGTTACAAAATTATTTAAGGAAGACTTTGTGGGAGCGGCACAAGATTTTACTTCTGCTTTACAAGTCTGTAGATATTATCAGAACCAGCATAAGGCAGGTCGACAACAGATTCAGCTAGCAAGTGAAGCTGCAGCTGAAGCTCAGCGAAATAACAGTGGTAGACGGAGAGACGAGTTTAAGTTAGACGAGGAGGACCACCCAAGTAGTCTTGAGACCCAACTTCTATTTCATCGCGCTGGTGTGTATTTGACTATTGCCTGTCAACACGTTAATGCAGCTTTACCACCTACGTCCTCCCCTTCAAAGTCGTGGAAAGATGTAGAGAGGGCCATGAAGACCCCCGGGTCCTCCAATGGAGAGACAGCTAATGGAGAAACAAACGGTGCCAATGGCACCACAGATGAAGCACCCGAGATAACCCCAGCCCAGAAAGAAGCACATCGAAAACGTCTGGAGGCACGGAAAGTGGTGAAAATAAATGCGAAGAGGGCACTAAGAGATTATGTAGCATATTTGTCGCATCTGGAATATACCCCTGGCCTTCCAGCCGAAATCACTGAAGAATTTGTCCGAAAGGTAAATTTAGCTGCGAATGGTTACAAAATTCCGCGACCACCTCAAACCAAGCACAATAAGAAGGTCCTTGATCTGGCAAGTAACGCATCATTAAGTAATGGCCAACTTTCCGATGCACTCATACCGCATACTGGCCACAATGGAAGACGTCGGCCCCAATCTAGTACTTTTCGACCACCTGATTTACCGTCTCTCCCTCCAAATAAAGTCTACCAAATATCATCCTTATTCTCTGCCACCCCACCAGCCGATCTTCCTCCTTACCCAGAAACAGCCACAAGTTTAACAACTAAACAACAACTCCGCGCATCCCAATCCGAGGCAGCTCAGCACATACTCGCCCAAGCCGACTGTCATGAAGCTCTTACCTATCACCCTCTTCTAACCGATGCCCTCCATTCCCTCTTACTTTGTCACTGCCTCGTACAAACCTCCGCCCGTGAACTTCAACGCCACGCCCATATGGTCGCGCGACTCGCCCGTGTTTGCGACGGCTATCCCGTCTTCCAAGCAGCAAGATCACCATCCCGCGCCGACTGGATTGAAGTAGTTCGTCGCAACGACAATTGGATCTCTCTTGCCGCATCTTGGGAAAATCTGTGCGCGCCCGCGCCGTTACCAGGCCAAACCCTTAGTAATCAACAGAAGGAGACAGCGGCGGAGAAGAAAGAGAGATTGAAACAACAAGCTATCATGGAAGCACTTGAAGATGATCGTGTTCATGATGAAGCTAGCTTTCATGCGGCAGTAGCGGCTAGACAAAGGAGACAAGAAGAGGAAGCTAGGAAGGCCGAGGGAAGAGAAATACCAAAGCGATGGGCTCAGGAGGATGGGAAGGAGTATCCTATTAGTACGGATAGAGCTGAGGCGATTGTTAGATGGCTCAGAGAAGCTCCTGTCGGCGGCGATGGTACCGGGTTAAAGAAAAAGAAGAGAGGTGTTAGGGGGAAGGGAAAGTCTAGGGTGAATGGCGCAGAGGCTGGTATACAGGATTTAAATCTCGATGGAGAGGGAGACGGCAATGAAGACTTCGACAGGATTGAGGAGGAAGTCGACTAGTTATATTCCTCGGCCTCGACGATATATGACTTTACAACTGTTGTGTCACGAAGACGAAAGTCTCACAATGAAGCTCCTCACGGATTCATATTGCACAAAGCAATGAGCAATGATTTACACAAGTTTAGACATGGGTTAAATGGATGGGAAACGGTGCCAGACAAAAATATGCAATGGCATGCATGTATGCGTATTTATGCGGTATGCATACCCTCTAATAGCGTAATAGCATAGTGGCAAATAACGACTCTAGTCGTTCATGGGTCGAGAATATCAATTAGATTAAGCGATCACTTATATCAATCAATGACACTTTAGTGAGCATGTACAAACCACCCATCCTCATCTCCGCTACCTCTCAATCCTGCATCTTGCCTATCTTTCCTTCACGGAAGCTCTCTCCCCCTCGCTCTCCCTTTCCCTCTCCTCGCCTATCAACTAGAACCCAACCCTCAACTCCACCCTCGATCTCACCCCTGGTCTCAAACCCGCCGCCCAGCACATCTCCAAGCCATCCCCACCATCTCCACCTAGCCCGCCTTAAGCTTCCCCAACACCCTCGCCGCCTTCCCCAACCTCCCCAAACAAACTCCACCCCAGAAATACTACTCGTACCAAACTCACAATCCTCCCCAACACCGACTCCTCCTCCAAACATAACATAATCTTCACCGTCAAAAGACCCATCAAAAATCCCATAAACATAAGATAGCATAGGATACCATTCTACACGGCCCAGAAATCGGGAGACTGGAGTGAGTTATAAGCCCGATTTGCACAATTTTGCCTATTCAATAAGATAAAACACGCTGGGGAGGATGGGGGGAAGGGGGGGGGGGGGGGGGGGTTAAGACTCGAATAAAGAAGGAGGATATGGATGTTGCATGTGGCGCTGAGTGAGTATGCTTTGTAAGTTGGGTGTTTTGGGGGGGGGAGCTCTTGGTACGGACGGGTACGGGATTAGATTTAGATTTATTTGGACAGCTGTGCTGTGTGGGTTTGAGGATGTAGTGAAATAATAAATGGATGAATACTAATGGCAATGCCAAATCTACTGTAGGTTTTGCAAGCCGGTCATATTATGGATATGTGAAGAATATGGATAATGAAAATGAAAATGAAAATGAAAATGAAAATGAAAATGAAAATGAAAATGAAAATGAAAATGAAAATGAAAATGAAAATGAAAATGAAAATGAAAATGAAAATGAAATGTGAATGTGAATGTGAATATGAATAATGAATATGAATATGAAGTTTGGATAGATAGATAGATAAATAGGGGTAACGAAGAACCACAAGGTTATAAGGAGTAGAAGGATGAATTTAAAGTAGCTTATCACTTATCATGCATGTATGGAAGTTAAGTACTTTAGGGGCCATCTGAGATAGCCGAAGCAGTAGAAGAAGCATTTGAGGCCGAAGCCAAGAAAGTATACTCGAGTAAGGGGAACTGTCACCACATCCACATCCACATACAAATCAAATGAAGATATTTGGTTTGGGTATTGAAATGTATTTATGAGTGACTACCTATGTATAGTATAGTATGAGTACAGACATTGACTTTAGGATATAACTGATAATATGATAATAAAACAATACAACGACGCTCTTTGAAACCATTCCCGCTGAAAACCCCGACACCTGACACCTAGATAAATGAATAAATGAATAAATGAATAAATGAATAAATGAATAAATGAATTCGTGGCTCGTCCGCTCTTATCTCGACGTGGATATCAAAAAATGGAAAAATAAAAGTGCAATTAAAGATTCAAGCTCGGGATACTTGACTATGATACAGACATCGTTGTCTACTCGTCTACCTGTCTACCTATGAACAGAACAGAACCTAACCATGAAGGTCATCAATCGAGTGGATGGATTATTGTTCATATTTGATGGGGTGTTCATACTGTAGGTTGTGATTCATGAAGTTGTCAATCTCGGTTAACCCTTCTGTTTCTAAACTATGCATCAATTCCGTTTGCTGTTCTTGACTCAGACTGCCCGACCTCATCCCCATATTGAAGCTGTCCTGGGAGAATAAATGAGGGGGAAAGTTATAGTATTCAGGTTGTGTGAAATAAGGTACATCAGTTATTAATGAATGCTGCATCGGGGGTAACGATGCTTGGGCTGGCATTTGATGCTGCGGTGGGTCTGGGATGGGGTCCCAAGGCATATGGTAGGATTGCGGCTGCTGTGGCTGCGTAAAGTCCGGTGGGAAATAGCTAAATCGTCGATCAGATTGCCCACTAGAAGGACTTACAAAGATTGAATTGGACCGAAACGAGGGTTGGGTCGGAGGTAAGGGATGACTGTAGTCATACGAAGGTATTTGCTCTGGCATTTGATTGAAGACATATCCGAATTGTGGAGGGGATTGATATGTATTACTGTGTTGTGCATTATTATGCTGTGAATGAGGAAGTGAGACTGAGGTTGCACTAGAGTGCTCAGATGCAGACGGTGAGTTCGCGTCAGTCATTGATGATGGCGGGGAAGTGGCAGAAAATAACGAAAGCGAATTGTCGCCGAGTTCATAGCTTTTGAGGCAGGCTTTGGTGAGTTTCATGTAAAGTTCCGATGTTGATTGGGTCCCTGGCCATCGTTCGCGAGAATGAGCAACAATTTCTAAAGCTTGAGAAATATGTTCTTCCAGCTCTTCCTTTGTGTGAAGGGCGCGTACTTCAGGATATGAAATGGACCACAATATCGTATTTATAGCCATGAATAGAGATAGAAGAAAAGGCCACGTCAAATCGATCATCGCTGTCTTTATTTGCTCGCTTTGTGTTACTATATTGCTTGAAGCTGCATCATAACACATTATTGCGGAACGATAGGATGGCTGGGGAACTTGAGGAGAAGGACGAAACAAAAAGATTATCATCGTATTGTATCTCCCAGCAAACCTAAGGATGTATTAGCACTGCCTTGTTTTAGGAACCTTTATTTAAATGAGCCAAGCTGACTTGTGCGTAGCAGCGACTAGCATATCACGTACCAAGTTTTACTCCACGGAGGATCTTCAGGAGAAGCCTCAAACCAATCCCTTAGCTTCTGGAGCATCTGAGCATACCAAGGATGGTCTTCATTCTTTGGCTCATTTCTTTTTCGCAAGTAGAGCATTCTCCGGATCTCTGCCTGCAACAGTCTCATATGAAAGAAGTGGATGGCTAGGCGCTTTTTTTCCGACATGGGACCAGGAAGTATGCCATCAGCAGTGATGTACTCATCATCCACTGTTTCAAAAAATTGTATGTCTAGATGGTCTTTCCCAATTGCGAAGGCATTCGGCCTACCCATTGACTGAGCCAAACCGAGCTCCATCGATAGAACAATCCAAGCTAGTCTTCGTCGCATATCAAGCTGTAGTGCATTGACCAACCCAAGCGATACTCCTTGAGTAATAGTCTTTTCTTCCGCCAGGCCTAACTGTTGGCACAGCCTCGTCGCAAGTCCAACGATGTAGTATATAGCAGTACGGGTGGGGGTGAGCATTGAATATTGAGCAATCAGAACAAGGCATTGTAATGTCTTGATATCTTTCGGTCTTATTACTTCTTCAATGTAACCCATAGCAGCCAGATAGTAGCTGTCAGCAAGGCCAGCATACTGCATATCCAGCTTCTGCATACTTATAGCCAGAACCATGCGAAGAACGAAATTCTTATATGGGTCAATATCTCCGTCATAAACTTCCTGAAGATTCTTGGCGAATGTAGGCTCATGTAAAGTAGGGAGCATATACTGGGCTATGAGATGATTAGCGAGATTTACAGGAGTTAAAGGTAACAATGAAGGTGAGGTATAAGCCAAATTTGAGCTCACAGTCGGCCATATGTGATAATTCTTCGCCATACCGTAGTTAGCAGTTTGAAAAGACGTGCATGTTCTTAAGACTTCTTTAAATTCACCTACATCCTTCAAAATTCCATGATTCTATCAAGCAAATAGACGAAAGCCGTAAAGCAATTCACTACTCGGCAGATAGAGAAGCGCGAAAGAAATTCATTGACTGACCTTTCTGATTAAACACCTCAACCAATTTATCAGTCACTAGGCGACTGGGTAACGTTGGCGCTGGTACAGCGGATATCATAGGATAAGATTTCTTTCGTTCCGGAGCCGTATCTGGCGATTGCGCGGGAGTTCGACGTTGCCGCACTTCAGGCACAAGTTCTCGAATACTCCTGGTATCTGTATATTTCTTTGCCTCCTCCATCACTATCCGAGTCATCGCAATCCCACTTGAAGGGCCCAAGTATCGTGGCGTCTCATCATCTTCGTTAAGTCGAATCAATCCTCCAGGACGTACAATATCTTCTGAGTTTGGGGGATTTCCTTCTTCTTCAACCAATTGACTGAGTTCCATCTCCAGTGCCCGGACTTTGTCTTGCAGCCTTATCACATATGTCCTGGAGATCTTCTTCCCTTTCGTTGTATCGAAATACTCGCATACTGCCCCCGCACGCTCGCAAGGCAGGCATCGTGGTAAATTGGGATCACATCTTGTTTTTCTCTGGAGAATAATAAAGATATCAGTAAATCTATCTTAAAAGCTGATGAAACGACAAGTGTATTACAAACCTGGCGGCATCTACAACAGGCAGTCAGGGTATGTGCGATCCTCGGTGAATTATACTCGCTTTCGTGCGAGCTCTCTCTTGCGCGAAGGGACTTGGCATCTCGAGCTCTATTGACAGAGCCTAAGGCTTGTCGGAATAGATCTGCTGTGTCCATCGACAAAGATATAACTTGGAATAGTCAGGTTTGTTTTGTCGTTGTAGCGCCAAACGTTTGCAAGGCTTATCATCGTTGGGTAGGTTATCGTTGAGAGATCGTCACAGAATTAAAAGTTGTACTATCCACGAAAACTGTATCAATCACAGAACTCCAAAAACACCTGACGTTGTTTTAGCCAAAGAAATTCTTATTTTAGCCCATGAAAGAAAGTGGTGGCGGATAGAAATAATCGTTAGAAAGGCCAGTATTGGGAAATTTTGGGAGGGGGGAATTGGATTTGGAATGAAGGAAGCCGCTCGAGTAAAAACGGCTTTGAGAAATATCCCCGCGATCAAAAATATGGTCCTCTGGAGCAGGGGAGTTGATCCTAGTACCTAGATATGTTGATGCCACAGGGTTACAGATTTTGATCAATCAACTCAAGAAACAAAGAATCCCCTGCCTACTGCAGGACACACCTCTTAACAAGGGCTTCTCCTCCTTTATACCTACAGTGGGGGAGTGAAGTATTTTGTATTAGTATGACGAACCTATCTAATCAAACACCTGTGCACTATCTAGTCACATATTCACCAGCAGAAGCCCGAATTATACTTATGAGATAGCCTAATCGTGGTTTTAGCTTCTTCAATAACTATTTCGACAAAGGATATCAAGGAAGAGCAGTAGAAAACAGTGCTTAAGGATATCTAAATGAGAGTTTTTCAGATTCTATACCTTATAGTGCCAGTAGTTACTCTAGTTGTTTGTATCTTACCGAGAAACATTGAGGGGTGAATAATGCCACGACCAGACAGGACAAGGTTGATGAAGCGAATAAAATAACATTCTATTATCTTGTCTTTGTTATGTTACCCTTTCTTTCTTTCATTTTTTCTCATTTGAAATGTGTAGCCTTTCTATTGAAACATATGCCAGCACACATGAAGCGGCGGGATGGTAGTAAGCTGTATGTGACAGCTACTGGTATCGGCTAAACGAACTACTTCTATTGTTTCTCCGTAGTAGGTTTGGTCACGGGATAAGGACTTACATTATACGATAAGAGCAGGTCGTGCAGGAATAAGCGGCCTTTTCTTTGCCTTGCCTTTCTTTCCTTTCATCTCCTTTCATTATTCCTTTGCACCAGCGCTCTAGTGGGGGTGGAAATCAAACCACCAGTTCTACCCAACCCGTGAGATTTACCGAGTACCGAAGAAACGACTTGTACTCAAGGATTCTGCAGCGATCCATCATCGAAGTGTACATTTCGGTGGAATAATTGATGCAAGTCGTATGGGGCCTCCGAATAACGCCCAGTCGCATCAAATTCTGAACACTGTGCCCCTGGTGTCTTAGCTACCTATATAATTTCAGTCGAGGAAGAGTAATTTTCAAACGGGCGACCCTCAAATCCTGTGAAGGCAAAACCGACTGTCGAGCCTCAAGAATATATTCCTTCGACCGTACGATGGAACGGGAAGGTGAATGATTAAACCTGCCAGAAGTACTCATTCATTCATCGATAAACAAGGGCATGAATCCTTCTTGACTGCAATATACCCTTGACCCCACCGCGAGACGATCCAGACGGAACGATTTGTTGGTTCAAAATTTCGGTCATTCCTAAGGTGGGTTAAAAGATTCCACTTTTGTCTGTGTTTGTGTGGATTATTGCACCCATCTCGTTGCGAAAATGTTGCGTTTGAAATCGTGAAGTTTGGGATTATATATCCGGCTTTATGGCAGCCACGATGGACCTCTGCCCCATGAAAGATACACCTTCACAGCCGTCATCGTTAAATGAAGCATTGAGTTGAATCACGAATTATTATATGTGGCTGATATGCGTTTGTTCAGTAGCATTCTTTGATGCCAAGGGAGATGTGAGATATCAACACCAAGAATCTCTAACTATAAAACTTCCGGTATTGGAATATCAACCGCTAGATTAAAGATGCGTCGAGCTGGGCAAAGCGCAGCTGATACTCCGCTTCTACGAGTATCGAGACCCGTTTCCGCATGTTCAAGATGTAAGTTTGCTCAACAGGCAGTTCGAGTCAATTGGCTGATACATACTAGGTCGAGCTGCAAAAATAAAGGTCTGAAACTTTTGACTCTAAACGTAAGCCAGCTAACATTTTTAAAAGTGCGATGGAAAACTACCCGCGTGCACTGCGTGCGAGAAATCTGGACGAGTGAACGAATGTTCGAGTGCAAATGATCAATTTGCGAAAGGAAAGGAGAGGAGGTAAGGACACCGTCCCAATAATTTGTGTTATAGCTAATGGCAAACAAGCTATGTTGCGTCTCTCGAGTCCCGTGTCGAAAAGCTCGAAAAGCGCCTAGCTTATGCTAGATTAAGAAAAGCATCTGTTGCGATGCATGATGTGGATGCTCCAACAGAACTACCAGATCGGAAAGACTCTCTGGCAACCATAAGAGCTGCGATTCATGGAAAAGCGGCAAGGAAGAGGGAGGCCGCTGATGTAAACGAACTTGTTTCCGATTTTGGATTTCTGTGAGATACTCCTATCCCCCTGGTACGAACGATTTTTGCTGACCATTATAGATCTGTCCATGCTACTACGCGCGACTTCGAGTCCTCTACAACTAATATGACATTTGCCAGATTGATTCTTTCGGCGGCCAATCATGATGAATTACCCGAGTCCGAGGCTTTACAATTGCCACCAAGACCTGTGGCAACGATATTGATTCAATATTATCTGGATAATGTTTTTGCTCTGTATCCAATTGTTTCCGAGACTTCTCTATTCAATGCACTAGACAAAATCTACCAGGACGGTAGCCAATCGGTGACTGATTTCGAGCATTGGTTATTCTACATGGTGTTAGCTATCTCATCTACGGCCCAATCTCGAAATTATTCGGATTCCCAATACAAGGAAGGTATTTCTTGGGTTGGTCGTGCTCTTGCCTACGCTGACCATGTTCTTATGCCTGGTCATGTCTCGCAAATTCAGGCATTGGTACTTTTCGTTCAGTATGCGATGCTTGATCCAGCCCATTTTGACAGCTGGCAATTGATAGGTTTTGCTTGTCGAGCAATTGTCGATTTAGGATTTCATCAGGACCCACCTAGAGAGCAACAGCCAGACAAGAAGACTTTAAATATGAGAAGGAGGATATTTTATTGCGTTTATTCGCTCGATAGGTAAGCAAGCATTCCCATTCTTAAAAGAATAAATGCTCATGGATCAGATCTATCAGCATGGTTCACGCAAGAGCTTTTTCTTTCACGGACGACTCATCTAGTGTCGAATATCCATCCGCATCGCCTACATTCCCTCCAATGGATTATACGGATTCGATAGTTGGCCCCCATTCCATGGATTCTGCCCATTTATTATGGCAATTACGTCGCGCTCAATCAAGCTGGTATCAAGAGCTCTTTCAATCAAGTCGAGAATCATTACCGCAAGGCTCAACTTATCTCTGGAAGATGTGCCAAGAAATGCGAGAGTGGTCTGTCTCCTTTCCTGATTCGCTACCGCTTGTCTTCAAGGATTTCTTTGATTTGGAGCTGCTTTATAGTTACGTCTATTGTCTTGCACCATCGTGTCGTGTCTACGTCGTATCAGATTATGCGAAGAACTTGATCTTTGAATATGCCATAGCATATATGCAGAAGATTTTCCCCATCAGTCAGGATCCTATCAACAAAGCATTCTATACCTATCATGATGCATTACGAGTCTATTTCATCGGAAGCCAATTCATGGCTGTGTTGTCCGACAGTCAAGATCAAATATTCAATGGATCATACAATACTACTGGAATGAGCTCATCACCACCACCGCCTCTCCCAGCAGTCAATGGATCCGGTCACATTGACCGGAGCATCAACTGTATAAACCATATCAAAGAGACTTTGAGAACATTTGGTCAACGTTGGGAGGATTCAAAAGCTCTTCTGTCGAGTTTCGAAGCTCAAGCCGAGGCAATTGTTGCGAGCTTGCACAGGAGGAAACAACAGCAGCTACGGTATATCAAAGAAGAATCCCCCATTGGTCATAGTCCAAACTATATGCCACCGCCTGCCTATGATCATAGAGCTTATCAAATGAAGCATGAGTGGCCGGATATGAACCTGATGTATCCGAATTTGGACCTCCCAGAATTTGGTGGAGCTGGACATGGAGCTGGACCCGGCTTGTAAATAAGATATACTTAATTCATGAACTTTTGACCACTAGCTACCTTCTTCAATAATTGACGTACTAGTTGACGAACAGACTCATGATATCATTATCGCTTCCTCTTCGCGGTTTCTCAATATGGACAGATCTGACTATCATGGAAAGAATGACCAAAGTTTTCCAGCTATTTATTTTACCATGGGGCTCGTACCTTCCTCGTGTTGCAGGATTCATTGTTTACTCCTGATGGTAGACTTATCTTCCTATATATTTTCTTTTCATCTCATCTCTCCTCTATTCATTCGCAACTTTTTGGCACGTTCGTTGTCGTATTGTTAACACGCTTTCAGGACAAACATCATTCTCAATATTATACTGAAGTATTTTACATTATCATATTCATTCTTACCTTGCTGGTAGGCTAGCTCTTGAGCCAATCTTTCAGGATGCCACCATTCTTTGCGTAAGTAAATATACCCATTCAAAAAAATGCCGTCTGACATCTTTAGTCCAAGAAAGCCAAAGCCACCTGTTCGTCTTGATCCAGAACAACAGGTTGCCAACTCGCACTATTATACGGCTTTCAAAGTCATTCTGAAGATCACCGTGATTGCTCTCGTCATTTGCATTGCTTTCTTGCCAACAGTAGCACTTCACAATAAACACAAACAGCATTCCGACGAACCCGTTGTTAATGATCTAGAACATCCTACCAAGCTCGGTATCTTGACCGAACTTGACCGTCGAGCTACTCATGTTCTCTTTCGTTTCGTGAAATCTGCCAAGCTCCTCCTTGAAGAATCACGCAATCGAAACTCGCTGTCTGATGAGTTGACGAAACCTTCTGCCAGCGAACAGGTCGAACGATCTGAGCAAGTGGCTGATGATACTGCGGACGATATTCGATATGGTGATTATACACTCGGTGATTCGATACATCAAGCCAAATTCGAAAACGAACCGACGCAGGAATGTCTTCCGGAGGTGAAAAGAGAAAGTGGCGGAAGGTGTCCCGGACAACCAATTCTCCCAATTAGAGATGATGATCGGGTGGTTCTTGATCAAAGTTGCACCTGGCAAGAACGACGCAAGCATGGAGGAAAGTGTGAAGCTTGGCGACCCACGCCTCGCTCCTTGATCGCGAGTGAAGACGCTGCTCCTCTTCCAGCTGAATCTCGTAACAATAAGCACTTCAATCGTCCAAGAAGTACACTGTTGATGTCAAGATCAACGCCAATACCAACACCCGCGCCCACACCCCAGGTCATCGAAACTTGTTCTTATGAGAGTGCGATTAAGAACGGAGGACGGTGTCCCCACGGGTTAGTTAATGGCCAAAATCCGACAGACAACAAACCAATTTCTATCACGGTCAGAATAGAATCTCACGAACCCAATACAGAACAACAACCACGTGGAGAGACAGCAAATGATGAGATCGAAGACATCACCGCAGCCTATCCGGCTGATTTCTGTCCACCTCCTTGGCATTACGTGAATGGCTGGTGCACTTATTTGTTCATAGATGATAATAACGGACGTCCTGTTACTCTCACTGTTTCAGAGCCTGGGTCACGAAATAGACAATCTCGTGGGGAGGATATGACCCAGAAGACCGAAGTTGCTACTACACCAGTTTCTGCTTCAACCTCAACCTCTACCACTATCCATAGTTCTTTGTCCACGGGTAGAGCATGTGAACCCCCTTGGATCCGCACTAAGAATGGCCGATGCATATATGCTCCCAAGTATCAGAGTAATCATCACAAGGATACCGTGTCCCGACCACGGAGGTCAAGACGACAACGACGTGGTGCATTTGTGAGCGAGGAGCGTGAGGTCGATCCTAGTTGGGAAGATGACTCGTGTGAGCCGCCTTTGATTCTCATCTCTATCAACTGGTGTATTTATCTACCGGGATATGAGCATGGAACAGACGATTATGTGTCTGGAACTCTTAATGCCACAGCACAACCAATGGCTACAGCACGACCAATTATCACAAAACAGCCAACTGTCACAGAACAACCAACTGCCACAGCACAACCATCTGCTACAGCACAACCGACCGTCACAGAAGAACCAACCGTCATAGTAATCGCGCACTGCGTAAACGACGCCGAAGGGCATCTTCACTGTGTCAAAGTTTCGAAGAAAGTCCGACAAATTTCTTCAGTTCATCATCGTCGAGGTTTCTGGCCCGACGATTGGATACCACAAATTGAAGCAGACTGTGACCCATTTATCGGAACATATGCGCACTATCAATGCATGCAATTGATCAAACACAAAAACATTGGTCTCAAAATGATCATGGTGTTCCTCATTCTCGCCGGCTTCGGCTCTCTCATCTTCCTCGTCATTACTTGTGCGAATCGAGCTTCACGTCCTAAAGCCCAACCTTTTAGACAGGTGTGTGGAGTAATCAATGCAAATGGCATGACTCAACATGGCTCGCCCATGTGTGCAAATTACCCGTGGATTAATCATGGAAATGCGAAAGCGCACGGGATTGGTAATGGGAATGGGAATGCGAATGGAAGCCCAATGAATGGAGAGCGATGGGCTCGAGGACCTCCGGCTTACGATCCCATGAGACAGCACACGGAAGACCATTCTGGTAGTCTGGTGGCTTGTTCGCGAGACTTCAATTGTGGAAGTGGTTCTACTTCTCGTGGGACGGATAATTGGATTCGCAAATTGTGCAATAAATGTTTTGGGAATCGAAGTTCTTCGCCCTTGGACCCGGTGTATTCTGCGGGGATGATGCGACAAGGTCCTAGGATCGATACGTTGAGATTGCCGAATGCGAATTTGGCGACGGTGAGGAGGGCGAGTGGTCTGGTTCCGAGTGAGGTGAATGGGAGGGTTAGTGGGAGTGGGAGTCTGAGTGTGAGGGGGAGTGTGAGTGTGAGGGGGGAGAGCGCGGAGAGTGCGGAGAGTGCAGAGACGGCCGAGACGGTGGTGCTGGGGAGTGAGTATGGTCGTGGTGTGGGTGTGGGTATGGGTAGGGGTGCTGGCGTGGTTAGAAATTCGGGCTCGGGTGTGAGGGGTTTGGCGTTGGGTTCGGGCTCGGGTAGTGGTAATGGTCGTGGTCGTGGTCATGGTAATGGGTTGTCTGGGGTCACTTTGACGCACCATGGTAATCTTAGTGGCGATACGGTTGTGGAGCCAGAAGCTGCGATGATGAAGTCGGGACATTTGAAAAAGGTGGAGTTTGTGGGGTTAACGGGATTAGAGGAGGTGGAGATTGGAAGTTGGAGGTTTGAGATGGAGGGAAGGGAAAGGAAAGGAGAATTTGGAGATTGAGGGGAGGGAGAGGGGGGGATGAAAGAGGAGAAAATTGAGAAGCAGATGGAGAAGGAGAGGGAGAGGAAGAGTAGTATTGTTTGTTTGAGTGGATGTTAGGGTGTGAGTGTGGTTGTGGATGTGGATATGGATGTGGGCGAGTGAGTATTGCGGAGTATTGCTCTGGACGTGGATTCATCGTTTGTTTTCGTTCCATTATTCATTATTCATTGTCAGAAGGGAGGGAGGAAGATTATGAGGTAGTATACTTTACGCTACGTTACGGGACTTGGCATTATTATTCGAGTATCAATAGGAGAAAGGAAAAGAAAGGAAAAGAAAGAAGGATAAAGGTAGCGACTCGCGAGGAGAAAGGGGCTGAAGAAACTCATTATATCACGCGATGCGTCGTTTGAGGGAAAGGAAAGGATTGGTTCATACTATTACAGTACGAATAGGGTGGTTTTTACTTCTGTTGTTTGTGTTTTGTTTTGTTGTTTTGTTTTGTTTTGTTTTTCTTTCTTTCTTTCTTTCTTTCTTTCTTTCTTTCTTTCTTGTCGTTCGTTCGTTTACTTTTTTTTTTAGATGCTAGATGCTAAATGCTAGATACTAGATACTAGATACTAGCTGTTGAATCGGAATGGAATCGGAATGATTTTCTACTCTCGTTAAATGGATATGCTTTGCTTTGCTTTGCTTTGATGTTGATTATGTGATTATGTGATTAAGTGATTGAGTCATTGAGTGATTGAGTAATGAAATAATGAACCTATCAATAGTTGCCACAGTACTCGTAGAACTACTCGGGTAGTTGTTAATACACCAATTAAACCAGCAGTTTACAAGTAGTAGTTTATGATATTCAAAAAACAGGTTGAATATTGATTGGGTTTCAAACTACTCAAGTACTAGTCTATAATCTATAATAACCTTAACCTTAACCTTAACTATATTCAAACAAATTACCAGTTAAACTAAACTATAGACTGACTATAGTTAAACTACTCGTACTTGAGTACTCGAGTACGAGTACAGTACAGCCTTTTAAATACCGTAGTCAATTATTTTTCGACTGCTTCTGATGGGTAGCTATGGATCTATGTGTCGAGGTATCTATGTGGTTAGGTATCGAGGTAGCTATGTATCGAGGTACTAGGTAGTTATTATAGAAAAATGATGGTGATGATGATGATGATGATGATGATGATGATGAGATTGAGATTGAGATTGAGATTGAAGTGTGAAGTATGAACCGCTTTAACTTTATGCATTGCAATATACTCGAGTAATGTAATGTAATATAACATAGACATCTAAATATCTATTCATCTCACGTCCCTCTATCTCTCTCTTCGCTTCCTTCCCTCTCCCCCGAGTCTCCCCCTTCCTCCCCTTCATCCTAACAGGTATCCCATCTCCCATCCCCCACTCTCCCACTCCCCCCCCCC